CCCCCCCCCCCCCCCAAGTCATAATGAATCATGTTTAAAATAAAGCAAAACATAAAGTTTTTCACAAAAAGCTCACATGTCTCGATTCCTGGAAGAACATTCCATAGTTCACTTCCGGTTTAGGTAACCCTAGCTAATTTCTCGACAGACCAATTTTAAAATTTTTACAATTATAACTGTGAAAATCTGGAACATATAATTATTGCATTTTTCTGGGCACCCTGTACAAAGCAAATATGGCATTTTCTTCCAGTAAATGGTAATTTTGGTAATTTTCTTCCTTTAATGGTAAGAATATTTTTATTGAGTGAAAGATAGAATATTATTCATCAACTGTTGCTATGTTGTACTTGACTTGACTTGCATGGACTTACAAAATATGACTTGTAACTCTGAATGAATGTTTTAGTTCTTATTACAGTAACCAATTTATACAACGTAACAAAGCTGTAGAAAAGTTCATTTTTATTAGATACTGAAGACACAAGTCATTTTGGTCGAGTCCAAGTCACAAGTCGTTCATCTGATTGTAATAACAAGTCACAAAAATTGCGACTCGAGTTGAGTCCACTAGAGACCAAGTCGCATGATTCGAGTCTACAACTATGGCATTTATTTCTATACCTAATCAGTAAAATTCTAATTAACTTGTATATGAAGTATTAGGGAACAATAAGACAATGTCAATAACGTATAGGTGCAAGCAAACAGCGTATAGCAAACGTTTCCGTAATTGTACCTAACCTCAGAGTGCATAACCTCACGCACTCTCATACAGTAAAACTATATTTTGTTCAAAGAAACATGAATATATAGTCGAAGCAAATTCTGTGAGATAAGAAACATTCAAAATGTTGTCCGGCAACAAGTCTCATTGAAGTGTTGTTATTGATATACATTGACCATTGTGGACGTTGTTTGACCTTGTAATTTGTAACACAATTGCTTTCATTACCAGTTTTTGTCGCCTGAAGTCAAATTTAAGAGCAAAACGTGCACACCAAAAGGCAAAAGTCTACTTCCTGAACAGTTTGTCGACTGTATCGTATTTTTTGTGTTTTAAAAGTCTTCAAATTTACACCGTCTCCGGTTCCCTGCTGATAGTTTGTATTATACACAATGTGATTAATGAAACTACGATTCACTTGGATAAGCCGCGTTCAGACAGCAGATATTCCTTGGCAAATTGTTTTCTTTGGCAGTGCCAAGTGTCCAATTGACAAATTGACTTCCTTGTGAGTTGTGTTATTAGAAATTTACCTCAGGTTATTTGACGAATTTTGTATTTGCTCCTATGGCTGTGTAAACGCAAAATTTACACGTATTTCTGACTGAGCGTTTGGCCGTATGCTAGAGTATATACGAGCATGCTGAATAGGCAAGTTTTTATAAATTTGTCTTTGTACAAAAATTGCCAAGAGTTTTAGGGGGGAAATTCAAGCTTATAAGCATTGTACAACATCAAAATAAAACCGGATAAAACCAGTCAACAAAATGCCGTCATCTTTAGAAACTACGCAGTCGATGTATTAAAATGACATTAAAAGTCTGTAGACTCCTTACCTTTCCCGTTGCCTTTGCTTTGGTTTTGACTCGTGTACTACTTCTTGCTTCTCAACCACGCACCTACAGGATCAAGTTGAAGGCAGAACCTTCTAAAATATCAAAATAAAACCGAATAAAACTGATCAAGAAATGCAGCCATCTTTATATACGGTCTTTATTACCGTATGACTACACGACCGTTGTACTGAAAATTGCATCATCAAAACTAGCCTTACCTTTCTTTCGCTTCAGTTGGTTTTGATTATTGTGCTATACTTCTCACCTCACACATAGCGAGATATTTTACTTGAAAAATTACAGTATATTCCATCCAAAAAGCGCTAGTTAAAACATTCGCGTCCAAGTCACGTTGCCGTTGGCTGTAACAGTTCTAGAGTGTTCTATAAAACTGACAGCTAGAGCATCATCGTATGCAAATTCGGAATGAGGACCGCCCGTGCGCCCTTCTCATGATTATTCATGACTTTATGCACATTACAACTGGTTAAGTGTTATTTTCTCTAAACATTTCACCAAGTTTAGCAAAACATTTTTAAACTATGGAAAAATTTTTATGTGGTATCAAGCAATAGTTCACATGCACACACATCCTCGGGTCGCTACGTCCCTGCATCCAGTTGTTAATTATGCAAATTAAACCCTATGTTCTCAGGCATCTTTTCCAGTCAAACGGTAATATCACACTTTGCTACGGTAATACTGATTTATGTCAGCTTACTTTTCCAGCTTCAAGCCCCAGTCAGACGAGGATGAGAGGTGATGAGAGCTAGCAGGTGAGAGTTTGCATGAGAGTTTTCTCAAATTCTAAGTAAAGGAATTGATAGGGGTACTAATCATCCTTTTGGACTACCCAATTCACTCACATATATACATAATTTATATGCTTTGTTACTTTGTGTCATTTTATCTTCTATGCTCGTACCCAGAGCATGCCCATTCGCAGGTTAGGCCAACCCTAACCTGCGAACGGGCATGTCTGGGAACAATATTGGAACAGTAGTAACTATATAGACATGCATTCGAATGATCTGAAAATATCGGGTGACCTCCTTCTCAATTCGTAATATGATGAACTCCCTTGTCTTGTAAGGCAGAGACAACCAGAGACCCCTAATTTTTGAAAAACCTGCGCAGGAGGTAGGTGCGCAGCTGAGTAGGCCGTCTCGTATGGCTGCTACCATAAGATCTATGTCTGATCATGGAACACAGGAAGGCTTTGTGGTATCTTTTTATCATTATATATATAACAAAAGAGAAAATACAAATTTACACAAAGAGAATATACAAATTTGTACGCACTAATAGTACGACCTACACACCTAACTATCCATAGGTGGGCTTACCATGATTAACTATTTCACATTAATTGTATTTCACATAAATATTAGTTTTTGCACTGAAAGCCCAGACTAGCCCGCGTCCAGCCTTTACCCGCGCAAAGCCTAACATTAACCCTGCGTGCGGGCTATAAGCAAAGCCTGGGCTCTTGTGATTTTTATTGAGGGAAACCGGGGTAGCCGGACAAAAACCCTCGAAGCTCAGGCGAGGACTAACCACAACCGACTAAAATTAGGTTCATTCAAGTTCGCTACTATACATAAGCCGCCTAGAGTTCAGTGTTCATAGTCGTCCAACTGGTAAAGTTTAAGCATAGTCTATCAAGATATGATTGTCTGGAAACTAAACCGAATTCATTGTGTTATGTTTTTTCTGAGTTTATGGTAATTTGTGCACGGTAACGGTGAATGAGCTCATTGTATTTTCGTATAATGAAGTAGTACTGAGATGAAAAGTGCAACCACGATGAATAATATTTAATGAAGTTGAAACAAAGGATTTGTGCACGGCGAGGTACAGTTCAACATCAAACAAAGGCCTTCTATTTTGTACCTTTGAAGTTTGCCAGGCTTCCAGACCATCATATCTTGACAGACTATGGTTTAAGATAAGAAAATCTACAATTTAAATTGTTCATTTAATAGTTAATTAAGAGTATTCATTTAAGTACTTGCACTGTCTCTGGGTTTTCTTGGGTCACGTCTTCATTTTGTTGCCATCTAACACTGTGTCTTCATGTGGACTATCCATCACGGGTCGGTTGTACGAAAGCCAGATGGAACAGCTATCAACCGGTAGTGATTTTTTTAACCGTTGTAAAAAATGCTTGAAATAAAGACATAAAAAAGACAATTGTAAGTCGTACTAAAGTTGAGTGCGGGTTATATCAATCAACGAACAATTTTAGAAAGCTTGAAAAATCACTTCCGGGGCGGTGTGTTCAAAGGTGGGTTATCGCTAACCCTGGGTTAAAATTTAACCTGCTGTTTTAGTTCATATATTTCTACATGTCTGTTTATTTCAAAACTTCAGAGAAGTAAACTCCTATCGATCCAGACAAGATCTCTGAATAAATATTTCCAAATTTATAGACAAGCTGTGAGGAAGTTTGCTTTCAGTTTTAGGTTAATTTAGTACCAAACTAACCCAGCTTTGAACAACCGGCCCCCAGTGGATAGCGCTATCCATTGTATAACCTGCTCCACCCCAGGGGCAGTTGGTTTGTCTAGTCTGCATGTTAGTTTGTTTCAAATTTTTGAAAATAAATTCATATTGATCTAGACACAATTTCTGGAAAAACATCGCCAAGTTTATAAATAAGCATGGTGTTGGTTTTGCTTTGAAATATTTCATTAACCCAAGATTAAGCTTTCGAACTTGGCGTTCGAACAGCTGACCCCTGGGTCGGTTGTTCAAAGCTGGATTATCGCTAACCGTGGGTTAAAATTTAACCTGTTGTTTTGGTTCATGTATTTCTACACGTTTGTTTATTTCCAAACTTCAGAGAAGTAAACTCCTATCGATCTAGACAAGATCTCTGACGAAATATTTCCAAATTTATAGACAAGCTGTCAGGAAGTTTGCTTTGAAGTTTAGGTTAATCCAAGATTAAGTTAATCCAGCTTTGAACAACTGGCCTAGGAGTATGGGTAGGTTTCGCTAAGCACTGTTATGCAACAGATGGTGGTCAACCAGCAGTTTCCAGAATGAGAAAATAATGTAATTCACGCTTCTGAAAAGTACGCCACCTTGGCTATATTGCCTCGTTTTCGTGATTAAGACGTAGGCTTTAACTCATGTCACATACACGAAAACGAGGCTCTATAGCCAAAGTGACGTACGAAACGAAAGGGTGTATTCTATTTGGAAGCAGGTAAAGAAAATTGAAAGATGTAATTTGATTTTCTTGTTTGTATTCAAGTGTCAATATTTCGATGTTAACCACCATCATCTACTGATCTGTAAAACTTGGTGTAACCTACCTATTTCCGATGTTGCTATTTAAGATTCAAACCCGAACCGGCATGTCAAACAAAGTTTGATTACTTTCATCTGTGTGATGTAAAATGTCGCTATAATCATTGATTATTTGTTTTAGCTCCTGCAAGTTGACAGTGAACAATCTTAGGCCTGCGATATTGGGATCATCAAGGTAATCTATGAATTCTGTTTTACTCCATTCTGCTTTCTCTTCTTTCTGTGGGTCATAAAACATTACTGTTCCACATTCAGTCTTTGTATTCAAATCTCAAACTACACAATGACCCCCGCCTAGAACCTTAGAACTCTTTATTCCCATTAAACATACACCTTTATCCATATTCATGAGTGTATTCCAAGCTTTCTCTATCATTTCAAGCTTTTTATTCATTTCATCAGACCACAGATACTCGCCACTCACGGGTGCGTCAATTACTTTACATTTCATGAATATTTCTATAAATTTTTCACACTTGAGATATTCCCTTTTAATTTTTTCGGCTGCATGAAGAAACATTATCAGGATTAACTGGGGACCACAAGGGTAGAAACCCAATTCCTGTTGGCAACTCCAAAGAATGGTGCACAAGACGCAATTTTTTGCACAAACTTTGCCTTTACGTTGTAATTGTTGAAGATATTCATTCTTTAACTTCCGTTGGTCATACTTCAACTTTTGAATCTGAAATTGTCTCCGCTCATTATTGGACGCTTGATTGTCAACCGTTGTATTCTGTTGATCAGTATTTAAGTCTTCTTGGACATGAATGAACTCTTGCTTGTGAACCGTTGCATTCTGTTGATCAGTATTTAATTCTTCCTGGACATTAATGAGCTCTTGCTTGTCAGCCATTGCATTCTGTTGCTCAGTATTTAAATGTTCCTGGACTTTAATGAACTCTTGCTTCTCAACCTTTGCATTGTGATGATCGGTATTTAATTGTTCCTGGACTTTAATGAACTCTTCCTTGTCAACCGTTGCATTCCGTTGATCAGTGTTCAATTGTTCCTGAACATTAATGAGCTCTTGCTTGACAACCGCTGCATTCTGTTGATCAGTATTTATTTGGTACTGGACTTCAGTGAACTCGTGCTTGTCAACCGTTACATTCTGTTGATCAGTATTTAATTGTTCCTGGGCATTAATGAGCTCTTGCTTCTCAACCTTTGGATTGTGATGATCGGTATTTAATTGTTCCTGGACTTTAATGAACTCTTCCTTGTCAACCGTTGCATTCCGTTGATCAGTGTTCAATTGTTCCTGAACATTAATGAGCTCTTGCTTGACAACCGCTGCATTCTGTTGATCAGTATTTATTTGGTACTGGACTTCAGTGAACTCGTGCTTGTCAACCGTTACATTCTGTTGATCAGTATTTAATTGTTCCTGGGCATTAATGAGCTCTTGCTTCTCAACCTTTGGATTGTGATGATCGGTATTTAATTGTTCCTGGACTTTAATGAACTCTTCCTTGTCAACCGTTGCATTCCGTTGATCAGTGTTCAATTGTTCCTGAACATTAATGAGCTCTTGCTTGACAACCGCTGCATTCTGTTGATCAGTATTTATTTGGTACTGGACTTCAGTGAACTCGTGCTTGTCAACCGTTACATTCTGTTGATCAGTATTTAATTGTTCCTGGGCATTAATGAGCTCTTGCTTCTCAACCTTTGGATTGTGATGATCTTGGTGCATTCTGTTGCTCAGTATTTAAATGTTCCTGGACTTTAATGAACTCTTGCTTCTCAACCTTTGCATTGTGATGATCGGTATTTAATTGTTCCTGAACATTAATGAGCTCTTGCTTGACAACCGCTACATTCTGTTGATCAGTATTTAATTGTTCCTGGGTTCCTGGACATTAATGAACTCTTGCTTCTCAACCTTTGCATTCTGTTGATCAGTATTTAACTGTTCCTGAACATTAATGAACTCTTGCTTGTCAACCGTTGCATTCTGTTGATCAGTATTCAATTGTTCCTGGACTTTAATGAACTCTTGCTTGTCAACCGTTGCATTCTGTTGATCAGTATTCAATTGTTCCTGGACTTTAATGAACTTTTGCTTGTCAATCGTTGCATTCTGTTGATCAGTATTTAATTGTTCCTGGACTTTAATGAAATCTTCCTTGTCAACCGTTGCATTCTGTTGATCAGTATTTATTTGGTACTGGACTTTAATGAACTCTTGCTTGTCAATCGTTGCATTCTGTTGATCAGTATTTAATTCTTCCTGGACATTAATGAACTCTTGCTTGTCAGCCTTTGCATTCTGTTGATCAGTATTTAATTGTTCCTGGACATTAATGAACTTTTCCTTGTCAACCTTTGCATTCTGTTGATCAGTATTTAATTGTTCCTGGACTTTAATGAACTCTTGCTTCTCAACCGTTGCATTCTGTTGATCAGTATTTATTTGGTACTGGACTTTAGTGAGCTCTTGCTTGTCAACCGTTACATTGTGTTGATCAGTATTTATTTGGTACTGGACTTGTTGGTCGTCAACCGTAAGTTGTCTTTGCTTATCATTGTACACGGCCCATAGTACCTTTAATAGGTCCAGCAATTGATATACTTTCAACAACTGTGAGGCATACTTTTCTTTTTCCAACTTCTGTATTTTATTTTTGAGATTCAGTAATATTTCCTTCAATATACTGATTAAGACCTTTGAGTTTGAAGACGGTGATAATACAATAATATGACTAAAAAAAATGTTACTAATATATGAAATAACACACCAGAGCACCAGTATCACCAAAGACTGTGGGAGTGAAATAATGTTACTAAATCTACTAGCGAACATGAACACCACTAGCAACAAACACAGTAAGAGTGTAGTAACACTACCAATAATAATAGCAAACGGGAACAACACTTCCACCAAAGATAGTGAGAATAAAATAATACTATCAATAATAATAATAGCATACGAGAACACCAGTTTCACTGAAGACCGTAAGAACGACATATTGCGACTAAGAATAATAATAGCATAGGAGAACACCAGTTTCACTGAAGACAGTAATGAAATAATACTATTAGTAATAATAGCATACAAGAACACCACAGTCAGTGCAACTGAGAGCTCCAAGGATGAAATAATACTTTTAAAAATAGTAAAAGCACACAAGTACACCAGTTCCCCTGGAGGTTGTAAGAATGAAATAATGCTAATACTAATAATAATACCATGCAAGAACACCATGGCCAGTTTACCTGAAGACAGTAAGAATGAAATAATGCAACTAATAATAATACGATACGAGAACACTTGCTTCACTAAAGACAATAAGAATGAAATAATACTAATAATAATAAGAGCAAACATGTACATCACGTCCACTAAGTATATAAAGAATGAAATATTGCCACTAAAAATAATAGCATACGGAAACACCAGTTTCAGTGAAGTCAGTAAGATTGAAATACTACTGATGATAATAATAACACACGACAACACCATGGCCAGTTTAACTGAAGACAATAAGAATGAAATAGTGCTACTGATAATAGTACATAGCTTTCTTCTTTCAACTTCTTTATTTCATCTTTGTAATGTTGTAACTTTTTCTTCAATATATTGATGTCTTTCTGTAACCCGTTTAGGTACGGTAACATCAGTAGGATAAAAATAGTATAAGAAATATACTGGTTATCTTGTCGATCAAGGTCACGTGCAAAATTGTAATTTCCATTTAGTAGCTTCAATTTTACCAAAACTGGTGACGGGGTATGGTCAGCATGGCCGAACAATGTATTTTTATCATGTGGATAATACATGCCTGAACAATAATAGGTTTACTGTGATAAGTAGCTTTTTGAATGAACACGTTATGATTTGGTAAATTTAACTAAAAAGAAACAAAAATTAATACTATCTTTTAATATTCATAAAAAAACGTGCAAAATTTGAACTTGATCAAATGGAAAATTAACGATTTAGATGCGTTAATAATGACTGCTGCCTAAACTCGCACTGATAGCTCAGTGGTTTTTCAATTTCATTTTTCTTCGACTAATCTGGTTAGGGTTTGGTTTAGTGTTGGGATGAGGGTGAATTTCGATAGTGGGCATTTTGAATTGTTTAATTTTCCCTGGTTATGGCTACTAAGACCAGCATTCCTCGCCGGCATCAAGCCTTGTGACGTCATTATATATATGGTCTATATTGCATGTTTTTGCCACGTCATTCTTACCACGTCTCAGTGAGCCGGCATCGTCAATTTGAATGCTAATGAGCAATATGATACATATATATTTTCAATAATATTAATATTTTATTAATTTTTGATACCTGCAAATGCATCAAATTTATGGTCAAAACACGCCGACCCAAAAGCTTACTCTAGATCGTGAACAGTTTGATGACTATATCGTATTTGATCTGTGTTTCAAAGAATTAAAATGGCGAGTGTGAAGTCACCATGACCATGAGCATGTCATTCGCAGAGTTCTCAATTGCATGCATAAACCGCTTTATATAATACTGTAAGTCCCGTTCCGACAACGAATTTAGCCTCACTTGACCAGTTTTCCGTTCCCCAAGTGTGCTAATTGACAAGTTCATTTTCTTGTGAGTGGTATTACAAGCAACTTTTGTCGTTTTGACAAGTTCTATTACACGAATTTATATTTGCTTTTGTCGGATTTCGATGTCTTCCTATAATGCTATACCTGTATATACAGCTCACACTCACAGACATGTAGTCTAAAGGCTATTTTACGCTACCAAAGATTCTGTGATCACAGTATAGGACTTTTGGCAGTTTGCATAGGTAAATTCTTATAGTTTTGAAGGATTTAAGGGAACTAACTCAGTGTTTATATATAAACACTGAGCCAGTTTCCTTAATTTGCTCAAAACGCCGAGTCAGTTCCCTTAAATCCTTCATTCAAAACTTACCTGTGCAAAATTCCCACTGTTGTGTCACAGAAATTGTGATAGTGTAAACTAGCTTCTTGTTCAAAAATCGGCATGCCTAGCTTTTAGATAAGAAAATTTCTGATGAAAAATTCACACCAATATTAAAACCAAACCAAGAAATGCTTACGCAGCCATATTTCGTAGACCTAACGTACGACTACGCGGGCCGGCTGATTTAAAACTCGACTCACCTTCCCTTGGCCTTGGCCTTGACCTTTGGTTTTGGCCCTTTCATTTCTCAGTCTCGAAAACTTGCACTTAAGACCAAATTTAACTCGAAATTACAGTACATACTCTTTCGAAACTGCGTTTCAAAACAGCATGATTCAATGAATGTGATTCAATTGCAAGTCACATGCCAATTTAAATTCGTCATGGATCGTCATGGATACATTATTCATCACTAATGCAATTTTCGACTGTAAAAAATGGCCAAGCCTTTAGGCTTTACTAAAAACGCTGCTTAATAAGCTGTTGAATTGTATTTCTTTAAAAAAGTCATGATCTAAGCTAGTTTAACCACATAGTTTTGACCATACAAAATGTGTTGTTGTTTTTTTACTACACACGTAAAAACGCACCGAGTTGTAACAAACCTGCAGCAGAGCTGTAGCAATGCTGTTCCAACAAATTGTCAACAGAATGTGTTCGCACTGCTTGTTCCCAGCTTTTTGACAAGTTGTCTAAAACTTGTTGACAATTAGTAAGTTGCTACAAGGTTGTTGTGAGTGACAACCTTGTAGCAACTTGACAAATTATAACAGCATTGTTACAACTTGTTGACAAGCTTACTACAAGCCTGTTGCGAACACATCTTGTTGACAAGTTATGTAGTACAGAAATCGTAAAACATCGCTAAACTACTGAACAATGCTGTAACAACATTATTGACTAACAACATTAGGGGTGGTGCACAACCTTGCTCAAGCCTGTCAATACAGTATCAACCAGAACAGGTTGTTCGTTTTCACGCGTGTACGAACCTAATTACTACGACAGCGGCGTTGTGGCAAAAGTTTGGTTAGTTATATTTGTGTAATGTAAAATAGCCTCGTGAACTGTGATTATTTGCTTTAGTTTACCCAAATTGACCGTGTATAATATAACACGAGCTAGCGGTGTTATTCGTTGTTCCAATTTGTTGATAATTCCCCCGCAATTCACTGCATATATGTTTCAAATTTCATACATGCAGTTCTTCTGTTAACCTTTTGTTCGACCATTCTACAGTTTCCTGAGCAGTACGTTTTTCCATGATTATAGCTTTGCTCAACCTCGTTCCCAGGCCCTTTGCTCTTTGCTTCCCAAGAGCAAAGAGCCTGGGAACGAGGTTGAGCTTTGCTGAGACACGAAAAGAATCCATTATAATAATTATAAAATGGCCCTCAGCGACAAATTATATTATATTGTTTACGACTTGTGTCTTTTTGTACGAATCAAAAAGGCCAGTTATAATTTGTCTGCCACTAATGAGTTTTTGCGGGGCGTTTTAGAAAAATTATGCAATGTTTTATTGGCACACCTGCGTTTACGCAATTACTCACAGTGATACATCAATAAAAGGTATAATGAATAGACAATGAGGGTCTTAGAAGAGCCTGGCCTATAAAAGGGGAAACGGGTTTTCAAAATATCAAATCTGGTACAGTGTGAAGATTGAGGTAGCGGAGTAAAGAAGATTGATTTCTGTGTATCTCAAAAGACTAGAATTTGTTTGGAACAGAGTGTTGAATCTTGAAGGCGAAACTTGACTGTGTGCGTTAATCAAATTAGGCTAGAATTTGTCAGGAAAATCGTCACCTCTGCATATAGTGAAAATGTTCCTTTAAAGGAAAAATACTATAGCCTGACAAGACCTACAATTTTGTGTGACAAAAGCCGAAGGTATTTTTTCAAAACATACAAGAAAAAAGACTATATACTGCAGGCCTTAAGAAAGGTGGATTTTTTGTCTTAAAATTGCAAAGAGGGAAACATGAGTTTGGAGACGGAACATCGAGCGTTTGCGAATAAACACCGTTCACAGATCGATGGCCTTTGTCCGGATAGCGAAAAAAATGACGGAGCGACTTTCGGACAATCGCTGATCAACTTTATGACTTTAGCAACGGGCAGCGTCAAAACAGCGTTACAAAAACCAGCAAATTATAAGAAAAATATCAACCATAGACGATACTTGCAAAAACAGCTTAAAATTTGCTCCAGGCGGAAGAAACGTTCCACGAAGGCAAAAACGGGGCCGAAAGCGAAGAAGGGAGCAAGTAAGCAAGCGCTTGGAACAGCTAGCGACGTTTGGTTCGGGCAAGCGAATTGTGGGGACATTTTTATGGCATCTGAAGGGAACTTGAATCAACAATTTTCAACGAACAATAATCTATTTCTTCCATACGAAGCAGCGTTTAATGGCGTCGGAAGTGGATATAACATTCAGAACAGTCTGACGAATAGTACAAACTTTCAAAACCGATTCGCATGGAATAATTTCACATACGCCGGACAGGAGCAAGCAAACCTTTTGGCAAAGCAACAAATTGATAACACCAGCAGCGCGTTTTTCAGGGACGATTCACTACCGGTTATGTTAGACGAGGAAGCAGAACAGTTCTTAACAGGAGAAGAGTTGACGCGTGTTTTGGATATCAAGGATTTATTTGTTCCCGAAAGAGCACATGCGGAAAATGGAAGTAACGATATTTTGAAGTTTAATTCGTCTTGCACTTTTGATGAAAATATTTACAATGGTTTCCAGACTGTGCCTTCTACTACAAGTATCCTCAGCTGGTAAAACTTACAATATAGGAAAAGAATAATATGTACTTCTGAAAATCATTCGTGTAATAAAGTTTAGTTATAAAATAAAGGAAAATGGTTTTGTTTGTAGTGCTTGGGTTACGTTTTCAGTTTTGTTGCTTTCTAAAAGCCGATGTACAGTACAGTATACACAACTTTTGCCTAAAACTGTCGCGGCATGCAACCTGCTTACAACTTGAGTAGTACTGTATAAATCAAGCATACAACTTGTCTACGACAATGTAGCCTGAAAACAGACCTACGTTTCGCCCGCCCTAAAATTCGCGTGTCGACGGAAAGGGCTACGTTTCGCCCTTTCCGTCGACCCGCGAATTTTAGGGCGGGCGAAACGTAGGTCTGTTTTCAGGCTAACGACAATGAGTACAATGTAAGCGAGTTGTGCTCTTGATTTACAATGTACCGCTCAAGTTGTAAGCAGGTTGCATGCGACAGTTTTACGCAAAAGTCGTGTAGTGCCGAAATTTTGTATTTTTCTATCACTTTTCTCATAGGCCGAATGATTGAAGTTCTTGCTCCAGAGATATATGGAGGTCACTGGGTAGAATATACCCGTTCGCAGGAGGGTTTACGTACTTTGCATTTTCCTGGAGAAGGGAGGTATAGCAACGGGCGTAAACAAGCGATAGCCTATCAGGTACATAGCCAACGACGCAGCTCAGTAGCGGCCGCCTCTAGCCTGTGAACAGGCGTTTATTCAGGTTTATTATTACGAGACCCACCTGAATAAACGCGTGTTTGCAGGCTAGGCCGCCCCACCTGAATAAATGCCTGTTCGCAGGTTAGGCAGCCTCTGGCTGCTACAATATGACCCATCTCTGATCATGGAACACGGGAAGTTTAGTATCTTTTTTATTGAGAAATTTGTATAACGAGACAGAAATATGCAAATTTGTACGCATGCACAAGTAGTACGACCAACCTTCACTATACCTAACTATTTATAGGTGACCCTCTCGTAGAGTCAGCTCCATGCATGATTAAGTATTTTTTATGAATTGTATTTCACATAAATCTTAGTTTTTGGTAAGGGAAACCGGAGTACCCGGGAAAGACCCCTCGGAACTCAGACGGAAATCAGCCACAACCAACTAGTACACGAGTTTTCAAGCGTTCGATATAAATATAGAAATAAATTATTGTTTAAAGTTGGCTATGAGCATCTGCTTCCAAATCTGTGGCGCTTACTGTCACCCTTCTATTGCCCTAGAGATGGGAAGGTGATGTAAAATACGCCAATGTTGTTTTATTATCTGTATTAGCTTATCCCATTGTACAGCGTACAATATAAGTCCTTCGTCATTGATCACATGGTTTCTAAAATCTTGTTGACTCGCTTCTACGGACTTCTCTATTTGTGGGTCATTGATTGTTACCTTCCCATCTTTCTTTGTCCAAGTCACACACTTCAACATGACCCACGGCGCCATTAGCCTCTGAAATAATTCTTCCAAGTATCACTACACCTAGCCCACCACCATCCATTTCCACGAGTGTTTTCCATGCGTTATCTATCTCACTCGCAGGCTCATACTTGAACTCCTTAGCTCTTGTGACTATTCCGCATTTCTCTAACATTTCCATTAACCGGTCGCGCTGTAAATCTTCGTTTTCAATTTTGTCGCTTGCATGCGCAGTTATTATCTTTTCTAACTGGCGACCACAAAGGTCTCGCAGATCCAGATATTTTCCGCAAATCCAACCTATAGCACATAGCACACAATTTTTACTGCAATCTTTATGCTTTAACTGCATTTTGGTCGTCTCTAATTCTTTTTTTAATTTCTCAATTTCGTTTTTGTTGTTTTGAATTTCTTCTTTCAATTGAGAATTTTCTGCTTTTAACTGCATTACCTCGGCTGCTAGAATTTTTTTAGTAGGTCCACTGTTATTTCTTTCCATCCTTTATCTTGCATGGGAGAACTTGCAGACTGATAACTTTCCTAAAAGGACATTAGGAAATTCAATAATATCTCTTAATTATACTTTTGTCTATATGTACGAGTGTTGATCACCGATGTTTATCAGCGGTAAATTTGATCACTTTATTACCTAAATGTGGTAACAGGCAGTTTAACCATCGTTAACTGTATAGCTATTTATATAACACAATTTAATTATTCACTGCAAAAAATCCTAGAGTGTTTTGATTCTAATAATCCCCGTCCCCAGATACTCGGTCACTTGTTGCAAACTAGGCTCTGGGTTAGACGACTAAAGGGAGAGATCTGATTGGCTTCTCAGAGAACTGCTATTTCGCAGATGTTGAGCAGTCTTCGCTAGGCAAAATTTATATTCTATCAAAATATGTCAACACAAATACTTCGTTTCTTAGTACTACTTCACTGTGAAAATTGTTACGGGTGTTAAAGCGTACTAATTCAAGAGCATGCGCGCATAAACTACTGTAAGTTTTCTTGTACTTTCGGTTCCGTGTGTCCCAGGGCCTAGGGAGAACGCGAGTGGCTCTGGGGACATGTATGATAATATAGATGAAAAATAGTCGAAGCCAAATGTATATACCAGTGTTAGTTGCTGGGGGTAAAAGTGGGTTTTGGACCTGTTGATATGTTGTAATTGAATATTTCTTGTTTAGGGGAAGGGCAGGTTGCCTCTTCCCACCGAGAAATCTAAGCCTAGTTAGGGCTTGGGCTTGTGTTTCATGTAAACTGAGTTGTCGTAGCTGCATGAGCTCTCCTGTGCTTCGAGGGCCTTTTCTCCGGGTACTCTGGTTTTCCTCCCTCTCAAAAATCAATACACTTAGGTAATTTATGTAAGAAATGTATTGTTTGTGATTGGATATGAGAGAATTGCTAAATAACTGAGGTTAACCTTACGAGTTACGATTTTCCTTTCCAGGAAGTGTGTATTCCTTGAATAAACGCTTCATATTTGTATGTAGAGTAAAAATATAAATATTTGAAAGAAAGAAAGAAAGAAATTCCGCTCCTACCCTGCGGTGCAGACGGTTTCTTCTCTGCGGAACTTATATTAGTGTGTTTAATTGAGAACCTTTCATGCAAAATGTTGTCAACGCATCCGGCGGAGGCTTTGTCTCAATTCGAACTTTATTATTACTCATTGTGGATAGTGTTGAACACTTTGATTTGCAATACAGTTGCTTCAAATGCATCAAACGTAAAAGTAAAACGTACTGTACAACTCCAACATAGTTCATATATTCTCAAAGGTTGACTGTACCGTATTTTTTGTTTTCAAAAGCGCTCAGACTTGCGAGGTTCCCTTGACATGTTTGACGTCTTGAGACTTGAGTTCTCGATTACATCACGGATTACATAAGCCGATTTTGTGTTAAAATCAAACGATTCATTTAAAATATATAACCTTGTGCCTCTGCAGTGGCAATTATAATTTTGGTTGGCATATTTTCCAAGTGTTATATAAGCAAATTCTCGCTTATTCTATTGAAGTTTTATTTGCATGCTTGTCTGTATTTATAAACATGTATAACAAGTGTTTTTCTTCACTTTGACTTTGTCCTTGTTCGGAAATTAACTCGCCGCTTTCACTACTCAAGAACTAAAGAAGATTTGCGAGGGAAAACTTAGTAATGAAAAAAATAAAACCAAATTAAAACCTGTCAATATGTAGCTATTTGACAGTTTACGAATATGGTCGTATGTCCTTTAATTGAAAAGTAGAATTAAACTGAACCGTATATACCTTTTCCTTTGCGTTCGGGTTTTGCCAGTTGTGTGGTGTACTACTTTTCATCTTGCAACTTTGCATCTAGTGCCAGATTTATCTCTCGAAAAATCGATCGTTTTATTATTTCTACGAAGCGATTCATGACAGTCGCATTGCCCGCATTAAGCACGAATGCATCTGCACTTCAAGTACAATTACATTATATGCAAATATAGCTGTGGCGGTATGTCATGAAAACCGCTTCTTCTGATATATTATTCATTACGAATCTAGACAATGTGTAATTTGCGACTAGTGTGTATAGAGATTGACCAAGCCTTTACAAAAACTTTGGCTTATACGCTTTGCAACTAGTTGAAATGTTATGTTCTCTAAAAATTTCACTTAGTTTAAAAAAAATATAGTTGACCATAGAGAATTATCTGACCAGTATGGTAAGATAGAAGATATAGTAATCATAAGACACCAAAAAACTATTCCTCAGAAATTTCTGCATTAAGGTTGTGGGGTGTTTTATTCTCTGGATCCTTTACAAGCAATATGAAGGAAATATTTTTTGTCAGATCCATATCTGGGCTTTTCGTATTTTCATTGTCTTGAGAATCTCGCTGTTCTCCATGCCATTCAGTCATGATCCAGTAATCAGAATATGTTTCGTGTCCTTTCATTGTTTTGAAAATCTCACTGTTCTCCATGTCATCCAGTCATGATCCAGTGATCAGAATGTTTCGTTGTCTTTTCATTGTTTTGAAAATCTCGCTGTTCTTCATGTCATCCAGTCATGATCCAGTGATCAGAATGTTCCATTGTCTTCTCATTGTTTTGAAAATCCCACTGTTCTCCATGCCTTTCAGTAACATTGTTTTGACCTATTTTTAACCATATGCAAAGGGCGGTGGTTAGAAGCTAAGGTCGGTGGTTAGAAGCTAAGGTCAGACTCCCATGCATGAATTCGGTCAAGAATTTAGGTATTGAACCCCATCTTCTCTAACTATCTTTTCCAGCCAAACGGTAATATCACACTTTGCTACAGAAATATTTATGTCAGGTTTCTTTTCCAGCTTCAAGCCCCGGTCAACCGAGGATGAGAGCTGATGAGAGCTAGCAGGTGAGAGTTTGCATGAGAATTTTCTCAACTTCTAAGTAAAGGGTTAGCCGGGTACCAATCATCCTTGCGAATATAGAACTAATCGACTATTGCATGTTTATGTCCGGTGCCGCTCAATTCACTCACATAATTTATATGCTTAGTTACCTTTGTTCTATTCTATTACAACTATTTATATATAGGCTTGTGAGTTATCTGAAAATGTGAGTCGGGTGACAAGGGCATAAACATGCGGTAAAACGCAAACCGAGTAGGGCGCTTCAGGTTACCACCATGTGCCTCTTGTCTGATCATGGAATACAATGAAGGTGGAAAGCTTCTTCTTTAGCATCTTTTTATTAATTTTTTTTTCAATTTTTAATTTTTAATTATACATGCATGTTTCCACTATAGATTAGAAACATTAATTACCGTAGCATATCATTATCAATTATTTTGCATTAATTATATTTCACATAAATCTTAGTTTTCACGGCCTTTCACTTTCACGACCATGCAGCTATACACAAGTTTTCAAGCGTTCTAAATGTAGAAATAAGCTTACGTTCGTTCCAGTGCACTGCCTGCATGGAGTCGTCCAGTGTATATTTAACACTTATTGACTGTGAGGAAAACAGTATGTTTTGTGGACCCGAGACTGTCAATGTTTCCCCAGGCGAAACTGAGGGAAACATTGGCAGTCGAAGGTTCACAAAAAGAACTATTTCCCGAGGGTCCCAGTCAATATGTATTTTATTATATGCCAAGTGTCAAAGAAAACAAAAAGAAACAACTTTTTTCGCTGTATTATTTACCGGTGAAAAAAAGTCCACTGCTCAGAGCTGTTGCTAATATATATACTATTTCGTAACTACTATATAATAAAGTGGTTTAGTTGGCAAACTGACCATTTGTTGTTCTGTATTGCTTACTAAATCCCATCTATCGCACCTCCGGCGGTTGGAAGAGTTTGATCAGATGATTTTACGTGTAAAATATGTGAACATTCATTGATTATTTGTTTTAGTTTCTCGAAGTTCACGATATAAAAGTTTACACCTTCGTCATTTTTTACGTGGTTTATAAAGTCTTGTTGACCTCCTTTTCCATGCATTTCTTCCTGTGCGTCATGGATCGTTACCATGCCATCTGCAGTCCTTGTGTCCAAGTCACACAATTCAGCATGACCGACACCATTAGCCTCTGAAATCACTCTTCCAATGATAACTACACGTAAACTATCGTCCATTGCCATTAGTTTGTTCCATGCTTTAACCATCTCTTCATACCTATCAATCATTTCAGGAGGATACTTGTACTCGTCATATTTTCTGACTATTTCACATTTTTCTAAGACATCCATAAACTGAACACACTTTAAATCTTCTAGTTTAAATTGGGGGTTTACATGCGAAATTATTTTTTCTAACTGTCGACAGCAAAGGTTCAAACCCAGACCCAGTTTTGTTTGGCAAATCCTCACAATTACATGCCGTACACAATCTTCATCACAAACCCTTTGCTTTAACTGTTCGATTCTGTTAAACAAATGTTTTTTCTCTCCTACAAGTTCATCATTTTTTTGTTTCAAATTCTCGTTAACTTCCAGCATATGTCTTCTTATACCATTTGACACTAGTGACTCTTGTCTCAACATCGTATTTTCTCCCGTTACCCTAGTATTTTCTCCCGTTAACCTCATATTTTCTCCCGTTAACCTCGTATTTTCTCCCGTTAACCTCGTATTTTCCCCAGTTAACTTTTTTACCTCATCTGGGAGAACTGGAGTAGTATTTCTTTCCATGTTTTAGCTTTAGCGGAACGTGTAGACTTGATAAAAGAAGAAATAGAAATTTAGTAGCTGAATTCATATAAGAGGACGGACGGTTTCCGTCTAAGACGGGAAACTCGTGTGACGGATTTCCGTCTGATATGAACTTGAAACAAAAACCATCGGACGGATAAAAACGAAAAAAATAGGAAACCCTCCATCCCAGTCTCTTTTCAAAGTTACGAGCAGAAACCATGGATATCTTATATACACGGCTAAAAACGCACATGTTGTTTCAAGTTGATATCGACAGGCGTGAACAATGTTGTGCGGCCAACTATGAACAAGTTGTCAACCATGTTGTTCCAAGTTGTTACAGTTGAACAATGCTGTAACAACATGTTGACAATACTGTTCATAGTCGGCCGCACAACCTTGTTCACGCCTGTTGATATCAACCTGGAACAAGTTGTTGATTTTCTCAATTTTTACGCGTGTACACTAGATGGCACATCTCTTTTAAAATTGAAGCCAAGAAAGTTTCAGCGGTTACCCCCATTTGAATAGATGGCGGCCATGTTGGTCGTTCCCACTCGCCAATAAACGCTTGAAAAACAACAATAACTTTCATCATTTGAATAGTTTAAAAATGTATTTGGAATAGGTTTAACTTAATGTTTAAGTTTCCTGTTTATATAAGAAATAGAAAACATATGAAATCTTCTCATTTCATGGGAATATCCTGAGTCTGCAATCACGGCTTCAATTGCAGAATAATTTTTGAATTGCAGAATAATTAGATGCACTATCTAGTGTATATAATATATCTATGGCAGAAACCCGTCTTGATTTATTCGTCTGATATAAATTTAAGACGAGTTTCCTGCCTAAGACGAGCAACTCGTCTAACTTTCCTGTCGTTCAGACGGGAAAGTTAGATGGAAAAATTGAGACGAAAAACCCGTCGTTGACCGAATTTATATCTGGACGAGTTTCTCGTCTTAAGGTGGACTTGGATAACTTAGATTCTTGCACTTCACTTGTTGGAATTAATATTAGGATGTTAGTTTGTAATCCAAGTGAGAATATATACATTTTAAGACCTAACCAGGAACGACTGCGAAAAATGCAGCACAATGTCCTCTGGTAGCAATTGAACCTACGGCCCTGCGATTCCGGTGCAGCGCTCTAACCAACTGAGCTACAGAGGCCAGCTGTTGAGCTGTAACCGTAAGTTCATGTATATATAGGTAATCGGGTGTGCGGGTTAATTGTGATAAGGTGGACTTGAATAACTTAGATTCTTGCACTTTACTTGGTGGAATTAATATTAGGATGTCAGGGTTTGTAATCCAAGACGAGTTTCCCGTCTCAGACGGAAATCCGTCTTCTATAATATGAATTCAGCTAATACTTCTAAACTACACAAGTCGGTGTTTATCACCAATATTTATTAGAGTGAAATGTGCATGGCATGGTATTACCAAATCGATATCAGCGTACACTTATTTATAGGTAGTTATATATATATATATATATATATATATATATATATATATATATATATATATATATATATATATATATATATATATATATATATATATATATATATATATATATATATATCACGTGATGCGGAATGAAGCATTTCTATACGTCATAAAATTTTAAAAAATAATAAGAAAGCGATGTCCTCACTATAGCTTTAAAATTAAAATAGTATACCAGACTCATTTTTTAGCATTGACTTCGACAAAGGTAACTTTTCAACGCTAATTTTGACCCTAATTTCAAAATATATTATTGACCCTAATTTCAAAATATTGACCCTTAATATTTCAAAATATATCGCAATCAACAAACATTGCCATTGTGGCCATTTTTAACCTTGTAATTTCACTAATTTCCAACACAGTGTCAATGGCCTTCATTACTTGTTGCCAAGACTTAAGTGCATAAAATTCGAGAGCAAGACGTACAGAATAAAACTCAAAAGTCCACTTTCTAAACAGTTATAGTCGATTCATGCTGGTTCCTGCTGCTATAGTTTTGTATTACAAAATGAAACTACGATTCACTTGGATAAGCCGCGTTCAGACAGCAGATATTCCTTGAGACCTTAACCTTGGCAAATAGTTTTCTTTGGCAGTTGCAAGTGTCCTTGACAAATTGCCTTCCTTCTGACTTGTCGGTTATAAGTAATTTTTATTGCTTTGGTAATTTTTATTTGCCTTTATTTGACGAATTTTGTATTTGCTCTTGTGTATTTATAGACAGATAATTTACACGTATTTCTGACTGAATATATAGAGTAGAGTATATATACGAGCCTGCCGAATAGGGTTTTTCTCATTTGTATAAAATTACCAAGCGTTTTAGGGGGGAAATCCAAGCTTAAGCATTGTAAAACATCAAAATAAAACTAGTCAACAAATGCCGCCATCTTTAGAAACTACGCAGTCAATGTGACAATGTATTAAAATGACATTAATTAAAAGTACATAGACTTACCTTTCACGTAGCCTTTGCTTTGGTTTTGATCCTTGTACTACTTTTTGCTTCTCAGCCTCGCACCTACAGGATCAAATTCAAGTAAGAACCTTCTAAAATATCAAAATAAAACTGATCAAGAAATCGGCGGCCATCTAGTTTATATACTGTCTTTATACCCTATATTTATATACTTTCTTTATACCTTATATATATATATAGTTGCATCATTGAAACTAGCCTTACCTTTTTTCTTTATCTTCAGTTGGTTTTGATTATTGTGCTGTACTTCTCATCCCACACATATAGCGACATATTTTACTTGAAAAATTGAATATTTTCGATCCAAAAAGCGCCTCCAAACAGTCGTACTCAAGTGACGTTTCCGACTACAAAAGCAGGTCTAGAGTTATGCAAATTCGGAATGAGGACCACCCGTGGGCCCTTCTCCTGATTATTTATGACTTTATGCGCAACAGGTTAAGTGTTATTTTCTCTAAACATTTCACCATTAGCAAAACATTTTTAATCATGGAAAATTTTCTATATGGAATCAAGCAACGGTTCATCGTTGTTACTAAAACATGGAACGTGTCAACGAGCCACAACGGCCCACAACCAGCCACAACGATCGTCGTGGCCGTTGTGGGTCGTTGTGGCTGTTTGTGAGTCGTTGTGGATCGTTCCATGTTTTGGTAACTACGAACAATTCATGCGTCCAGTGATCAAAATGTTCCATTGTCTGTTCATTGTTTTGAAAATCCCACTGTTCTTCATGCCATCCAGTCATGATCCAGTGATCAGAATGTTCCATTGTCTTTTCATTGTTTTGAAAATCTCACTTTTCTCCATGCCATCCAGTCATGATCCAGTGATTAGAATGTTCCATTGTCTTTTCATTGTTTTGAAACTCCCATTGTTCTCCACGTCATCCAGTCAGGAACGTAGCCACAGACTTTCGTTAGTTAGGCTGTACGTAAGGGTCCAAATTACCTGAATTTTTAAATTAACTTTTTACGTAGCCTAAAAGTAGTTTTTGAAATTTAGTGTTGTTTTTTTCATGTGTACATTCAAGTAGCAGGTGTTTCTTTCGAAAGAGTGCAATAGAGCACTAGGATATGGGGCTAAATCTACTGGAGAATTCTGGGAGAAAATTTTGAAGATTTAGACCCCCCGAAAGCCCGGAAACGAAAGTAAAATTTGGCATTCTTAGCTTACTGTCCTTTTAACTTTCACGTTTACCTGGCAATGGGGTTATAATTTACCTGAAAATCAGCTTAAATTACCTTGACAATTACCAAGACAAGTGTTAAGACCCCCCCCCCACATCCGCCGGTCGCTACATGCCTGCATCCAGTTGTTAGTTATGCAAATTAAACCCTATGTTCTCAGGCATCTTTTCCAGCCAAACTTTGCTACAGTAATATTTATGTCAGCTTTCTTTTCCAGCTTCAAGCCCCAGTCAGCCGAGGATAGGAGGTGATGAGAGCTCGCAGGTGAGAGTTTGCATGAGAATTTTCTCAACTTCCAAGTAAAGGAATTAATAGGGGTATTAATCATCATTTTGCCTTTTGGGCTACCCCAATTCACTCACGTACATAATTTATATGCTTTTTTACTTTGTGTCATTTTATCCTCCATTATAAGAACAGTGACAATCTCGTACCCAAAGCATGGGGTTAGGCCAACCCTAACTTGCGAACGGGCATGCTCTGGGAACAAGATTGGAACAGCAGTAACTATATAGGCATGCATTTGAATGATCTGAAAATATTGGGCGACCTCCTTCTCGGTTCGTAATATGATGAACTCCCTTGTCTTGTAAGGCAGAGACCCCTAATTTTTGGAAAGGCCTGCGCAGGAGGTAAGTGCGCAGCTGAGTAGGTCGCCTCGTATGGCTGCTACCATAAGATCTATGTCTGATCATGGAACACAGGAAGGCTTTGTGGTATCTTTTTATGATTATATATATAACAAAAGAGAAATATACAAATTTGTACGCACTAGTAGTACAGCCTACTTTTACACACCACCTATCCATAGGTGGACCTACCATGATTGACTATTTTACATTGATTGTATTTTACATAAATATTAGTTTTTGCACGGGAAGCCCAGGCTCTACTTGTAGCCCGCGTCCAGCCTTTACCCGCGTCAGGCCTAACCCTGCATGCGGGCTACAAGCAGCCGGACAAAAACCCTCGAAGCTCAGGCGAGGACTAATTACAAGGGGAAAATACACAATTTTTCAAGCGTTCTTAGGTTCGTTCAAATTCGCTACTGTACATAAGGCTAGAGTTCAGTGTGCATAGTCGTCCAGCTGGTAAAGTTTAAGCATAGTCTATCAAGATATGATTGTCTGGAAACTAAATTTCCGTATAATGAAGTAGCCGTCCAATTGGGATAGCCGAGATGAAACGTGCAACCACGATAAATAATATTTAATGAAGTTGAGACAGGATTTGTGCAAGGTGAGGTACAGTTCAACATCAAACAAAGGTCTTCTATTTTGTGGCTTTGAAGTTTGCCAGGCTTCCAGACCATCATATCTTGACAGACTATGGTTTAAGATAAGAAAACCTACAAATTGTTTATTTAATTAAGAGTATAGCCTGCGAACAGGCTCTCTTTGAACAGGCTCAATTAAGAGTATTCATTTAAGTACTTGCACTGTTTCTGAGTTCTCTTGGGTGACGTCTTCTTTTTGTTGCCATCTAATACTGCGTCTTCATGTGGATTATCCATCGGTGGTCGGTTGTAAGAAAGCCAGATAGCGCTATCAACCGGTAGTGATTTTTTAACCGTTGTAAAAAATGCTTGATATAAAGAGATAAAAAAGACGTCAAGCACAATTATAAGTTATACTGAAATTTAATGTGGGTTATATCAATCAACGAACAGCTTTTTCGCCGGTTGTTCAAAGGTGGGTTTGCGCTAACCCTGGGTTAAAATTTAACTTGTTGTTTTAGTTTATGTATTTGTACACGTCTGTTTATTTCGAAGCTTCAAAGAAGTGAACTCGTATCGATCCAGCCAAGATCTCTGAAGAAACATTTCCAAATTTATAAACAAGCTGTGAGGAAGTTTGCTTTGAATCTTAGGTTAATCTAGGGCCAAACTAACCCATGCAGCTTTGAACAACTGGCCCCCGGTGGATAGCGCTATTCAGGTTTTATACAACCTGCCTGGCCCCAGAGGCCGTTGTTTAAAGCTCTTTTGGTTTGTGTAATTGTGCGTGTTAGTTTGTCTCAAAATTTGGAAAATAAATTCATATTGATCTAGACCTAATTTATGGAAAAAATATCAAGTTTATTATAAGCAAAACTGTTGGTTAGATTGCTTTGAAGTTTTTCATTAACCCAAGATTAAACTAACTGTCTTTCAAACAACTGGCACAGCTGGGGCCGGTTGTTCAGAGCTGGATTATTGCAACCCTGGGTTAAAATTTAACCTGCTGTTTTATTTTATGTATTTCTGCACGTCTGTTGATCCCAAAACTTCAGATAAGTAAACTCCTACTGATCCAGACAAGATTTCTGAAGAAACATTATAAACAAGCTGTTGGAAAGTTTGCTTTGAAGTTTAGGTTAACCTAGGGTTAAGTTAACCAAGCTTTGAACAACTGGCCCAAGAGCTACTATGGGTAGGTTTCACATTCTGCAACAGATGGTGGACAACCAGCAGTTTCTACAGCGAAAAAATAATGTAATACACGCTTGCGAAAACCGTGGCTATGAAGCCTCATTCTCGTGATTGAGACGTGGACTTTAAATAATGTCACATACACAAAAACGAGGCTTTATACGACTTTCCGGAAGGGTGTATTCTATTTGGAAGCAAGTAAAGAAAATTGAAAGATGCAATTTAATTTTCTTGCTTGTATTCAAGTGTCAATATTTCGATGTTAATCACCATCTGCTGTTCTGTAAAGCTTGATGTAACTTACCTATCTCCGATGTTGCTATATATATAATTCAAACCCGAAGCGGCATGGGAGACAAAGTTTGATTACTTTTATCTGTGTGGTGTAAAATCTCGCTATATTCATCGATTATGTCTTTTAGCTTCTGCAAGTTGACAGTGAACAATCTTAGGCCTGCGATATTGGGATCATCAAGGTAGAATATGAATTCTGTTTTACTCCATTCTGCTTTCTCTTCTTTCTGTGGGTCATGAAACGTTACTGTTCCACATCCAGTCCTTGTATTCAAATCACAAACTACGCAATGACCTCCGCCTAGAGCCTTTGAACTCTTTATTCCTATTAAACATACACTTTTATCCATATTCATGAGTGCATTCCAAGCTTTCTCTATCATTTCAGACTTCTTACTCATTTCTTCAGACCATAGATACTCGCAACCCACAGGTGCATCAATTACTTTACATTTCATGAATATTTCTATAAATTTTTCACACTTGAGATATTCCCTTTTATTTTTTTCGGCTGCATGAAGAAACATTATCAGTATTAATTGGGGACCACAAAGGTAGAAGCCCAGTTCCTGTTGACAACTCCAAAGAATGGAGCACAAGACGCAATTTTTTGCACAAATATGACCTTTACGTTGTAATTGTTGAAGATATTCATCCTTTAACTTTTGAATCTGGAGTTGTCTCTGCTCATCATTGGACGCTTCATTGTCAATCGTTGCATTTTGTCGATCAGTATTTAATTGTTCCTGGACATTAATGAACTCTTGCTTGTCAACCGTTGCATTCTGTTGATCAGTATTTAATTGTTCCTGAACATTGATGAACTCTTGCTTCTTAATGAACTCTTCCTTGTCAACCGTTGCATTCTGTTGATCAGTATTTAATTGTTCCTGAACATTAATGAACTCTTGCTTCTTAATGAATTCTTCCTTGTCAACCGTTGCATTCTGTTGATGAGTATTTAATTGTTCCTGAACATTAATGAACTCTTGCTTCTTAACGAATTCTTCCTTGTCAACCGTTGCATTCTGTTGATCAGTATTTAATTGTTCCTGAACATTAATGAACTCTTCCTTGTCAACCGTTGCATTCTGTTGATCAGTATCTAATTCTTCCTGGATTTTAATGAACTCTTGCTTGTCTTCTAACTTCTCCTGATCATCCTGTAACTTTTGTTGGTCGTCAATTGTAAATTGTCTTTGCTCATCATTGTACCATGTAAGTTCAAACGGCCACTCCTGTTGGGCAATCTTCAATTGGTCCTCCTGCAATTGATCTACTGTCTCATGTAGTCTCTCCTTTTCTAATTTCGAACCCGCTTCTAACCTTGAGGCATAATTGATTAAGACCTTTAATTTCTGGAACACCAGTTCTAAATACGGCGAGAATAGAATAATAGTACCACAAAGGATAGCACACGAAAACAACAGTTCTGGAAACTTTGGGATGAAACCGAGAGTAATAAGAACAATACACGTGAACTCCTGTTCCACTGAAGAATGTGAGAATGTTATAATGCTATATATAATAATAGCATACGAGAACACCACTTTCATTAAAGTCAGTGAGAGTGAAATATTTCTACTAATAATTATAGCATACGAGAAGACCAGTTTCACTGAAGACTGTAAGAATAAAATAATAATAATAATACTATCATCCGATAGCACCAGTTGCGCTGAAGACAGTAAGAATGACATGATACCTCTAATAATATCATCCACGAACTGTTTGTTCGACGCTACAGTCACCAAGAATATTGCAAGAAAAAAACAAACGGTAGTAACAATGAAAACCTTACACGAAAACACCATGGCCTGTTTCACTGCATACAGTAAGAATGAAATAATACTACTAATAATAGTAGTATAGCTTTCGTTTTTCAATTTCTGTATTTCATCTTTGTAATGCGGTAATTTTTTCTTCACTGTATTATTGATGTCTTCCTTTAGGTGCGGAATCATCAGTAAGAATGGAATAATAAGAACAGAAATATCGTAAACTTGTTTACTAAAGACACGTATAAAATCGTCGTTTCCATTCAGTGCCAATTCTTTCCAATGTGATATATTTACTTCTGCCAAAAGTGATTCTTCATGGGAGAACATGCCTTAAATCGTTACGATTTGGTAAATTTAACTAAAAAGAAACAAAAATTAATACCATTTTTTAATACTCCATACAAAACACCTGTACAAATTTAAACTTGACCGAATTATCATTTAACTTAATAAACGAGTTTTATATCATATGCAGTGATTACGGATGGTGAGATCATTTGAATAAATTACTAAAGCATTTACGGTATTTCTATTTTTCTTGATTGTGTAAAGGCATTCAAAACACACGATATCGTAATTACACATTCACAAACTGACACAAAGACCCTATAATCGACCAATATCCTCCTATATTTTTTGTTACAAATCTTTCAGAATTAGCATACTTGCCACGCGTTTCGTCCCGCGCTTGTCCCGCGTGCTACGGTAGGAGCCTCCTTAAATTTCTTCGATCGTGAAAAAATTATGTCACGTCAGTGTGCTATGCAAGATGAACTTAGTGGCGATGTTTGTTAGTTTGCATGTAATTACACATTTACAGATTTATAGGCCTAATAATGACCAATATTCTTCTATGCAGTATATGCAACATATTTTTGTCTAGTGCCACGTCATTTCTATACCTCGTCTCGCTGAGGCATTGTTTCATTTTGAATATACGTTGTGTGTATTATTAATACGTATATGAATGTTTCATATACTTTATTAATTTCTGTTGCCAATGCCTCGAATTTGAGGTCAAAACGCGCGAAGCAGAACTCAGAGGCCAGAACAGTGTGTTGACTATAGTCTATACTGTATTTCATGTCTTTCAAAGCATCCATGTTGTGCTCACAATGTCAAATGTCAATGAAACAATTCACTTGAAATAGCCGCGTTCAGACAGCATAAATTCTCCTTTGCGCAAGTAGTTTTGCGTCATTGCGTGGCACGTAATAAAAGCTGGTTTAGACTATCATCAAAGTTTCTGTGGTCACATTAGGAATTTTGCATGGGTAAATTCTAAGTCTTGAAGGATTTCTAAGAAATATTTGAGGAAACTGTCCCACTGTTAAACACCGAGTCTGTTTGCTCAAACATTTCTTACAAATCCTTTAAAATGCACAATTTACCGATGCAAAATTCCTACTGACTGTGATCACAGAAACTTTGATAGTGTAAATCATGCCTAATTGTCTTGGTTGTGCTGAAATAATGTTTTATAAACAACTTGGACGAATTTTATTAATAAGTGCTTATTTGTATTTATATAAACATAAAATTCGGATGCTATTATACTCACCTTAAATATATACAAGGAAGTCGAATTTATAGTCTTTTCTTCACTTTGTCCTCGTTCAAAAATTGACTCGCTTTTACACAAGAACTAAAGAAGATTTGTGAGGGGAAATTCGATTAAGAATAAAGTAAAATATCAACATTTTAAACCGTCAAGTTATAGGTATCTTTACACATCAGTCTTTACGAACACGTTTGGTGTCAGTTGAAAAGTGGAAATATACTGAGCCGTACCTTTGGGTTGTGGCTGTTGAGTGCTGTACCACTTTTTTCCTCGTAACCTGGCACCTAGCGCTGAACTTCAAAATACGAATAGATTCTTTCCAAATTACAGTACTTCGAAACAGTCACATAGCCGGCAATGGATTTAATAATTACATTAGCAAAAACATGCATGATTATGCAAATAGCTTGCGGTAGGTCATAAGTCATATAGATGCTCATGAGGAGCTCATATTACATACGTATATTATTCATTCCAAGCACAAGTAAAAAATGACCAAGGTAGTTTACAACTGGTTAAAGTGTTATCTTTTACAAATATAGCATAGAAAATTATCTAACCTTACAGCAGGTGAAAGCTATATAAATAATAAGTCGTAAAACACCTTGAATTCCTCAGAAATTTCTGCATCGCATTTTAGGACTATTATTTTCTCAATCCTTTACAGGGCCGTAGCAACCGGGGGGGCTGGGGGGCTGCAGCCCCCCCCCCCCCAATAATTTGCTAATAATCATTCTTTTTTCAAAATCATGCAAACTTTATCATTTAATCTGTGACAAACTGCAAAGAATGAAGATATTACTCATACTCCAGATCGTTCCTCGCGTAGAAATTTTAGCTGAATTTTTGTCGCGCATTTTCAAGAAAATCTCACAAAATCTGCACATTTTTGATGAACTAATGATTTATTTTGTCTTTTGCGTGTTGGGTCTTGCGAAAGAAAACTCTGAAAATGCCATTTCAGACCATCTAGAGACTCCAGATTTTCGAAATTTTCTCAAATGTTCTGCCTTCATTTCCGCGCAACTGCCATTTACGACGAAAATTCCCGCCGCGCATTTATAATAATACAGTCTGGCCCATACTTTCCTGTAAATTTCGACATACTAAAACGCTGTTTTCTGACTATCAGAATTCTGTTAAATCTTCCCCCAAAATCCAGGAAATGGCATTTTAGAGACTCTAAATTTAAAAATTTCCTCGGGCCTTCGGCCCTCGCTTTCAGCCCCCCCAATCGAAAAGAGCTTCCTACGGCCCTGCTTTACCAACAATATCTGTTAAGTAAGGTGGAGTGATCCAAAACTAGCTAATCAACGTGAAGGTGGTACACTGTTCAACCCTCGCTCCAGCTCTCTAATTCTATTGTAACCATAGAAATTGACTATAGCCATCTGCAGGTCAGCAACGCTTAAGTCTGACTTGTGTCTTTTTGCACCAATCAAAAACGCCAGTTAGAATATTATTTGTGTGTGTTGGTGTATAATTTGTCTGCCACTAATGAGTTTTTGCGGGGCGTTTTAGAAAAATTATGCAATGTTTTATTGGCACACCTGCGTTTATGCAATTACAGTGATACATCAAGTAAAAGTTATAATGAATTCTAATAATGAATATTAAAGCCCAGCAAAGTGCTTTTAAAAGAGCCATAAACCATTAAATTTGAAATTTTTTAATAAAGATTTAGTAACGTTTCGTCTTAACTCAAGACATCTTCAGACTATATTAAATTACAAGCTGTAAGAGTAATTAAGCATAAAGTAAAGCTATCATATGAGGTACACAAAACGTAAGGATAAGGAAGGGTAATGAAGGGAAGTGAGGAACAAAAATGAGAATGTACAAATTAGACGACGACACATACAGACAAAACGTAGAAAAAAGAGAGAGATCAGAATAGGTGAAGAGGAATTCAGCTGCCTTGAACGTTGAGAGAGGGTTTCATTTTAGAGACAAGGAAACTTTCATGAATAAGGAGTTCTTGGTCATTATGAATAAAGAGTTCTTGGTTCTTGGTTATCCTTACGTTTTGTATACCTCATACTACTCGTAATTTAATATTGCTATGATAGCTTTACTTTATGCTTAATTACTCTTACAGCTTGTAATTTAATATAGTCTGAAGATGTCTTGAGTTAAGACGAGACGTTACTAAATCTTTATTAAAAAATTTTAAATTTAATGGTTTATGGCTCTTTTAAAAGCACTTTGCTGGGCTTTAATATTCATTATTAGAATTCGTTTTCCGCCTGGTACTTCTCTGGTATCAAAGTTATAATGAATAGGCAATGAAGGTCTTACACAAGACCTGGCCTATAAAAGGGGAAACGCTTTTTCAAAATATCAAATCTGCGTACAGTATGAAGACTGAGGGAAAGAGCAGAGTAAAGAAGATTGATTTCTGTGTGTCTCAGAAGAGTTTGGTTGGAGTGTTGAATTTTGAAGGGGAAACTTGACTATAAATTATGTATGCGTCAATCAAAAGGCTAGAATTTGTCCGGACATCGTCACCTCTCCATCAATTTTGGAAAAACATGCACGAGTGAGTTTTTCAAAGACTATCAAAATTGCACGAGTCCGAAGGACGTGTGCAACTTGAAGTCTTTGCGGAAAATTCACGACTTAGATATGCCTGAAGTTGACATTTTGGACACTTCATTCCGAACCACGAATTACCAAAATAACAAAAATTAACAGGAAGTGGTGTTTTTTAGGTGTACTAAATATATACATAGTCAGGTCAATATGCTATCTACAGTACCAACAATATTGTTTGTGTCTCTGCACTATGTCCTTTCCTTAAATGATTGTGCTACAGTACAGTATGTTGTTGGGAAGGCTTGGCAATAATTACTTCTAGTTTTGTATTAAGGTTCCCCAGGGAACATGTCCTGTGCCGCAGGCTGCATATTTGGTTCCACAGGCAACTTGGTGACCGTCGATTCCGCAGGCAACTTGGTGACCGTCGATTCCGCGGGCAATTCGGTGACTGTCGATTCCGCAGGCGACTCGGTGACCGTCGATTCCGCAGGCAACTTGGTGACCGTCGATTCCGCAGGCAATACGGTGACCGTCGATTCCGCAGGCGACTCGGTGACCGTCGATTCCGCAGGCAACTCGGTGACCGTCGATTCCGCAGGCAATACGGTGACCGTCGATTCCGCAGGCGACTCGGTGACTGTCGATTCCGCAGGCAACTCGATAATTTTCGGTTCCTCAGGCGACTCGGTAACTGTCGGTGACACAGGAGACATGCGGTTGTTGTCAGTGCCAGTAAGATTACAATCTTCTCTCGATTTATGAATTAAACTTTTCTCGTAAACTTTGATTATTTGGTTCAGGTTTTCGACGTTGACAGTGAACACTACAACTCCATCGACATCTTTTACACGTTTTCTAAAAGCATCTTGATTAACTGTCCGCCATTCCTCTGACTGTGGGTCATGGATTGTTAAGCTGCCTTTCTCCCTTGCATCTGTCTCCAAGTCACACACTACGCAATGACCCACCTCATCTGCCTTCAAAATTAGGCTTCCAATTATCACTGCACGTTCCTTCGTATCCACGCCCATGAGTTTTTCCCATGCTTTATCTTTGTTACAGTAACAATCGTGGATGTCATTCTTTTTAGGACACTCGGGATCTTGCTTAGGATATATATCAACTACTTCATATTTTACTAAAATGGACATGAATGCTTCACAGCCTAAATATTTATTTTCAGTTATTGGATCAGAACGGTCTAGTTTGAGTGTTATAATTGTTTGTAAATGGGGACCACAAGGATAGAGACCCAGTTTGTTATTGCAAATCCATAGTAAGCAACACAATCCACAATCTTTGTTACAAAGGTGACCTTTTCGTTGTAAATCTTCTTGGAGACTTTTTCTCTCGCGCTCTAACGCACGTTCTAATTGATATATTGTCTGCCTCAGTTCTTTTGCTTCTTTTTCCAACTTCGTTTTCGCCAACTCTGCGGCATCCTTTCCTTCTCTCAACCTCTTGTTGACACTTTGCAACTTATTAATGGTAATGTTTGCCTTATTCAATTGTTTGGTAAGTTGTTCTATTTTTTCTTTTTCTGTTTTATGGACTGATCCAGGTTCTCCAACGACTTGTTCATGTGTGAATAATTCAACTGGAAGAAAGAAAGCGTTTATAAATTTTTATAACAAAAAAGGACACACAAACCCAGCACAAAATACGGTACCCTACTCCTACTAGCAGTGGTTTGCGAGCTGAGCTGAGTTACAGAAGTACAGCACCCATGCATGCAATTGCTGGTACATATGTAATTCGAGTAACATTTCATTTACGTACTAGTAACTCAAACGGTCAAACATGATTTTTGAATTGCGTGAAATATTTTGTTCATTTTTGATACGAAGAAATGTAATATATGTTCGATAGAATAAACCCATCTCTATCGACTTTTTTGAACTTGAATGTTATTGATACATTGTGTAACATTTCTTGGCAAATCCAACGTATTGTTCCCAATTCGAAATTTCTATTACAAACTTTACCTTGTTCTTCTGATTGTTGCGTTAGCAATTGGTTTGTCTCGTCGAAAACTGCGTTTAACTGTTCCTTTAACTTTGCTACTTGATCTTCCAATTCTTGAATTCTGCTTTCTTTTCTTTGCTCATCTTTCTGACCTTCTGGTGTTTCTTCCTCAATATGTTCACTGTTATTAGTTTCCATGGGTAGGTGTTTGGATGAACACGACAAGACTCGATAAATTGAACTAGAAAGAAAAACTCTAAATAAATATTCCTATTCTTAAAAATACGTGTAATAGTCGATAAAAACCCGTACAAATTTGCACCAAACCAAATAATTGTTTGACAAATGCGTGTGTGATGCAACTAGCTGAAAAATATTAAAATAAGTTCGTCTGGAATAAGTTACTGAGTAGCACTAATTTTCCGACAAAGGACTTCCGCTTCAAATATTGAAGTTTTTTTTATAGTTTTCAGATAGTTGAACATGTATCATCTACAAAAGTTCACAGTTTGTATTCTTCGCTACGGTTACACTCACACCCAACGTTTGAGCATAGACACACCAGATTTTTCCCAGAGATTTTAAACTTTGTTACTCAATATAAAATTGAGAAAAATTCTACCAAATTAATTTTATCCCCATCCCAGTTTGATAAAAATTTGTGGTAACAATGTACACACCACCATGAAGACCCTATGTTAGTCAACGTTTATTCATAAATCTGGTCTTCACCGTCACATGCGTATTGTATTTTTGTCCAACCAACCAATAAAGCAATGTTTTAGGAAAGTTACCTTTGGAAAATTCCTACTGACTGTGATCACAGAAACTTTGATAAAGTAAACCAGCCTTAATTGTCCTGGTTGTTAAGGCCCTGTCACACTATTGCGTATCGTACTAGCGTATGCCAGCGTATGAAAAATATCACTCATATGCCGGTATACGTTGACATACGCTAGGGTTACGTTAGGCATAGGTTGTATACGTTTCAAGCACGGTCGCATACGGTGGCATACGGCGAGGCAGAACATTTTTTTTAAGCATGTTCAAAAATTTTGTGCCTATCGAACGTATGCTTTATACGATAAGCATACTCTAGGCACACGCTGAATACGCTAGAGGTACGTCAGATTTACCGTAAACCAAAAATCTTTTGAAATGCCAGCGTATGAGTACCGGGTACTCATACGCTGGCATTTCAAAAGATTTTTGTGCGTATGAAAATTATTTCATTAATTTTCATACGCTTCTCATACGTTTCTCTCATACGCAATAGTGTGAAAGGGCCTTAAATGTTTAATGTAAATACTTCGACGAGTTTTGTTAATAGGTGCTTGTTTATAACACAAAATTCAGATGACATATATTATACTCACCTTAAATATATACAAGGAAGTCTTTTCTTCACTTTGTCCTTGTTCAAAAATTGACTCGCTTTTACACAAGAACTAAAGAAGATTTGTAAGGGAAAATTCGATTAAGAATTTAGTAAAATATCAACTCATTAAACCGTCAAGATAGGCAACTATCTTTACACTTCAGTATTTGCGAATACGTTCATACGTTCGTACCTTTGGGTTTTGGCTGTTGAGTGCTGTACTACTTTTCTCCTCGTAACCTGGCACCTATAGCGCTAGATTCAACTCCAAAATACGAATATATTCTATTCTTTCCAAACAGTACTTCGAAAGTTCGAAACAATCACATAGCCGGCAATGGCAGCATTAATCACATGAGCATGTATTGCATATGACCTGCTGCTAGCTATTTGCATAATCAAGTATGCTCATATTTACATACGTATATTATTCATTCCAAGCACAAGTAAAAGATGACCAAGGCAGTTTACAACTGGTTGAAGTGTTATCTTATACAAATATAGCATAGAGGATTATCTAACCTTTACAGTAGATGGAGCTATATAAGTTATAATAATTAAATCGTAAAACACCGCCCAAATTCCTCACAAATTTCTGCATCGCATTTTAGAATGTTTTTTTTCTTCTCAATCCTTCACCAATTATGTGCATTAAGGTAGAGTGATCCAAAACTAGCCAATCAACGTGGAGGTGGTACACTGTTCAACCCACTGGTCCAACCCTCGTAATTCCAGCTCTCTAATTTTGTGCGTTGGCGTTGTAACCGTAGAAATTGACTGGCCATCTGCAGGCCAGTAACGCTTACTATCTGGCCTGTGTTCTATAGGATTTCGTTTACATTATTGTAAATTCATAAATTTTAATTGTTCATAAAATTGAATGGATTCTTTTTTTCTTCAACATATAAATTATATATTTGCCACTATTTGGAAATTGAACATTTCTGATCTTATATGTTGTTCTGTGATGCTCACTGCAACTCTCCTGTTGCCTGTCCTTGTATTCAAGTCAAACACTACAGCATGACCAACACCATTAGGATCTGGATTCAATTATGCAAGTATCAATACCTGTACATACTCGATCACGATTTTCGTTTCGATTTTTTGATCACGATTTTCGTTTTGTGTTTCATTTGTCACGAATATTTTGCCAGTCGCCTCTTAGCAGTTAAAAATTTTCATGACCCTTCCAAATTTCTTCTGTCTTCCCCTCCCTCCCCCCCCCTTTCACCATCCTCAATAATGACTACTCCCTAAGCGAACACTGCCAACGACAACGTACATAATTTCTTGGTTTTCAATTTAAATTTTCTTCATTTCTCTTGACTAATCTGGTTAGAGTTTGGTTTAGTGTTAGAATGAGCGTGAATTTAGGGTTAGGGTGAGTTCCAAAGTTTTTTATATTTCTTCATCTTGATTGAAAAAATGATGTCACGTCTTTGTAGAATATGGCAGTGGCGGAAATTCACTTTTTCCGGTGGGGGGGCAAAGTCTCCTAAATTTCCGACAAAACTTTGAAATTTCCGACGTACCCCCCCCCATTTGTATTCGAAAAGACTGTTTTTAGCCCACTTTTAGGTCAAAATTTCCGATAATTCGTCAATTTTCCGGAAGGTGGGGGGGGGGGGGCGGCCCCACCAAGATTTCCGCCACTGGATCAATATGGGATCAAGACAGTGGCGACCTTTGTAATTACACATTCACAAACTCACATGCACAAAGGTAGTTTCATAGACTCTGTGATCGTTAGTATCCTACTGTCTGGACTTCTCAGTCAATAACGTACATGCAGTGCATGCATAACTAAGTCTATGATGAGGGTGGTAAGGAGGGCATAAGCGTACGGGGCTGATCCTTTCTGAGGGGGAGGAACTCGAACTTTAGCACGAATTTGTATGTAGGATTGTAACAAAATAGCCTGATTTTAACAGATTTTATAATAAATTTACCCGAATAGTCTTGAATTTTCCATTTCCTTGGCTTTGTATAAACTTTTAGGATGATAGTCCCCTCCGCGCGCCCTGGTCTCGTATACGCCTATGAGGAGGGCCCCCTCCTCATAAGCGTGCGAGACAAGGGCGGAGTGGGGGTGGGACCGTAGACATTTTCCCGTTGTCCTCGTTTTGACTCTTGTACTACTTTTCGCTTCTCAACCACGCACCTACAGGATCAAGTTCAAGCCAGAACCTCCCAAAATATCAAAATAAAACCGGATAAAACTGATCAAGAAATGCAGCCATCTTTATATACGGTCTTTATTACCGTATGATTACACGACCGTTGTACTGAAAATTGCATTGTTGCTTTTGTTTCAATTGGTTTTGATCATTGTGCTATACTTCTCACCTCACAAATAGCGAGATATTTTACTTGAAAAATTAAATATATTCGATCCAAAAAGCGCTTTGAAACAGTCGCGTCCAAGTCACGTTGTCGTTGCTGTAATAGTTCTAAACTAATGCAAATTCGGAATGAGGACCATGCACCCGTGCGCCCTTCTCATGATTATTCATGACTTTATACGCAATACAACTGGTTAAATGTTGTTTTCTCTAAACATTTCACCAAGTTTAAGCAAAACATTTTTAACCATGGAAAATTTTCTATGTGGAATCAAGCACACCCCCTGGTCGCTACGTTCCTGCATCCAGTTGTTAATATGCAAATTAAACCCTATGTTCTCAGCCATCTTTTCCAGGCAAAACGCTCTATATCACACTTTGCTACAGTGATATTTATGTCAGCTTTCTTTTCCAGCTTAAAGGCCCAGTCGACCGAGGATGAGAGGCGATGACAGTTCGCAGGTGAGAGTTTGCATGAGAATTTTCTCAACTTCTAAGTAAAGGAATTAATAGGGCTACTGATCATTCTTTTGGACTATTTATATAATAACAGTACCAATCTCGTACCCAGAGCATGCCCGTTCGCAGGTTATGCCAACCCTAACCTGCGAACGGGCATGCTCTGGGAACAAGATTGGAACAGTAGTAACTATATAGGCATGCATTCGAATGATCTGAAAATATCAGGTGACCTCGATCCTTCTCAACACCGCGGAAAAACGTCTGCGCATGCGTCAACCTTACCTGTAATAGTATTACGAACTTGATGAGAAGCTGTTCCGAACGTTTCCGAAGGCTCAAAATGGCGGTAAAAAGGAGTGACTTCATTGTGCATCTTTACAGCCAGATTTCGAGCGCAAAAATAAACATGTCATTCTAAAAACTAGGAATAAATACAGCCAGAAGGTTCAAGAAATTGTATTGTACAAGAACATGAACTAAAGGTGATTGTTGACAAATTTATCGTCTGAAACATTTTGTTTATCAACTAAGCAACGACAATTTCCGAATTTTCGTTTGAGATACATTTCTTTAAAAAAAACTGTGTCGCCAAATATAAAAAAATTTCTTGTTCACAATAATTAAACTTTAGGATTTATTCTACAATTTGAGTGGGTTAAGAAGCTTAACTTTTCGAGAGTTTTCTTAACTTTTTAGTTTGAATTTTTGTTTTGAATAATTTTGCAAAAATTTTCGAAGTCGTGTCCGTTAAAATGAACAATTTTTTACATGAATTATATTTCATCCATACTTTAAATGCCAGGACGCTTTCAATTAATGTCTAGTCTACCCATTTGCTATATTTTCTCGTTTGTTTTACTAATTTTTGACCAATTAATAAGCATGTTTTTGTTTTAGAAATTGATATTCAAATTCCCCGCCATATTTTCATAATTTGGTGCATGCGCAGACGTTTTTCCGCGGTGTTATCCTTCTCAGTCCGTAATATGATTTGGAAAGGCCTGCGCAGGAGGTAGGTGCGCAGCTGAGTAGACGGCCTCGTATGGCTGCTACCATAAGATCTATGTCTCAGATCATGGAACACAGGAAGGCTTTTTGGTATCTTTTTATCAACATATATATAACAAAAGAGAATATACAAATTTGTACTACCTACTTTTACACACCTAACTACACCATAGGTGGGTATACCATAATTAACTATTTTACGTTGATTGTATTTTACATAAATATTAGTTTTTGCACGGGAAACCCAGGCTCTGCTTGTAGCCCGCGTCCAGCTTTTACTCGCGCCAGGCCTAACCCTGCGTGCGGGCTAGAAGCAGAGCCTGGGCTCTTGTGGTTTTTATTGAGGGAAACCGGAGTAGCCGGACAAAAACCCTCGAAGCTCAGGCGAGAACTAACCACAACCGACTAATACACAAATTTTTAAGCGTTCTTAGGTTCATTCAAGTTCACTACTGTACCTAAGGCTAGAGTTCAGTGTGCATGGTCGTCCAGCTGGTAAAGTTTAAGCATAGTTTATCAAGATATGATTGTCTGGTAACTAAACAGAAGTCATTGTATTATGTTTTTGTCTGAGTTTATTTTAATTGTGCACGGTCACGGTGAATGAGCTCATTGTATTTTTGTATAATGAAGTAACCATCCGATAGCTGAGATGAAACGTGCAACCACGATAAATAATATTTAATGAAGTTGAGACAAAAGATTTGTGCATGGTGAGGTACAGTTCAACATGAAACAAAGATCTTCTATTTTGTGGCTTTGAAGTTTGCCGGGCTTCCAGACCATCATATCTTTACAGATTATGGTGTAAGATAAGAAAACCTACAAATTGTTCATTTAATTAAGAGTATTCATTTAAGTACTTGCACTGTCTCTGGGTTCTCTTTAGACACAAAGGCTGGAATCTGAGCCTAGGTTCTCTTGGGTCACATGTTCATTTTGTTGCCATCTAATACTGTGTCTTCATGTGGACTATCCATCATGGACCAGCTATCAACCGGTAGTGATTACTTTAACCGTTGTAAAAAATTCTTGAAATAAAGATATAAAAAGACGTCAAGCATAATTATAAGTTATATACTAAAGTTTAATCTATTAATGTGGGTTATATCAATCAACAAACAATTTTATTCGCCGGTTGTTCAAAGGTGGGTTTGCCCTAATAGTTTATGTATTTCTGCACGTCTGTTTATTTCCAAACATCTGAGAGAAGTAAACTCCTATCTATCCAGACAAGATCTGTGAAGAAATATTTCCAAATTTATAGATAAGCTGTGAGGAAGTTTTCTTTGCATTTTAGGTTAATCTAGGGTTAAACTAACCCAGCTTTTAACAACCGGCCCGCGGTGGATAGCGCTATCCAGGTTTTGTACAACCTGCTCCACCCCAGGGGCAGTTGTTCAAAGCTCTTTTGGTTTGTGTATTTCTGCGTGTTAGTTTGTTTCAAAAATTTTGAAAATAAATTCATATTTAGCCTGCGAACAGGTTCTCAAGTTCGCAGGTTAATTCATATTTATCTACACACAATCTCTGGGAAAATATCGCCACATTTTATAAGTATGCTGTTAGTTAGATTGCTTTGAAATTTTTCATTAACCCAATATTAAACTAACTGGCTTTCGAACAGCTGTCCCTGGAGCTGGTTGTTCAAAGCTGCATTAGCGCTAACCCTAGGTTAAAATCAACTTCGTTCCCAGGCTCTTTCCTCTACGCTCCTAGCTAGGAGCGTAGAGGAAAGATCTACGCTTCTAGCTAGGAGCGTAGAGGAAAGAGCCTGGGAACGAGGTTGGGTTAAAATTTAACCCGCAGTTTTGGTTTGTATATTTCTGCATATCTGCTTATTTCAAAGCGTCAGAGAAATGAACTCTTCTCGATCCAGACAAGATTTCTTGAGAAATATTTTCAAATTTATAAACAAGCCGTTGGGAAGTTTGCTTTGAAGTTTAGGTTAATCCAAGATTAAAGGGAAATGGCAATATATTTTTTTATTTTCTCGTTTGAAAGAACATTTAAAACCATACATAAAACTCTTTTACCGTTTTTTCATATCTTGCTTACTTCTACAAATATTTTAATCGAAAGGAATGAAATGTCCGCCATCTTGGATTTTTGTAGATATGCATGTTACGTCACAACCATATGTCACAACAGGGGTCACGCAATATATTTATCTAGCCAACCACTAATCATCTTGCACTCAAAATTATATTCTGTCTGCCCTTGGAAATATCAAGATCACTCGAGACCTTTAAAACATTTACCAATCAATATTTGGTCAGTAACGAATACTTTTATATGGTTAATCCCTGTTGTGACGTCACCAAAACTACAGTTAATGAGATCAAAATTTTATCCAAGATGGCTGACATCTCATTTCTTCAAGTGAAAATATTTCAAGAACTAAGCAAGATATGAAGAATCGGTAAAAGAAGTTACTAAATAGTTTCAAAAGTTCTTTCAAATGAGAAAATAAAAAATATATTTCCATTTCCCTTTAACTTTAAGCTAATTTAGCTTTGAACAACTGGCACCTGGAGTATGGGTAGGTTTCACTTTGTGGACAACCAGCAGTTTCTAATTCTAGAGCGGAAAAATAATGTAATACACGCTTCCGAGAAGTAGCTACGTCACCGTGGCTAAAAAGTCTCATCTTCGTGATTGAGATGGTGGGCTTTCAGGCCTTAAAATATCTTTTACAGGGCCGTCTGACAAAATGTCCAGTGACGTTGAGTTTGGGTCGGACATATGTCCGATGACCTTCAGTTCAGTTTTGGCTCGGAAATAAGTCTGAATGACACAAATGAATAAACGGTAAATGTTGTAAAGATATTAAATAATTTGTTTCTTTCATACTTATTTCCAAGCCAAAATTAGTTTGCTTGCCAGAACAGCAGTGTTAAAAAAAGACTTCGACAACTTAAGCCCGTTTTCCACTTCACCATTTCGCTCGCCGCCCCGCGCTCGACTCCGTTAAAACAACATTTCCAGTTTACCTTTTATACAATAGTACTCTGATTTTCCATTTAACATACAAGCCTCTAGTCGTGGGATAGGGTACATTTTGATTTACGTTGGACAAAGCTACAGTTCGGTCGGACACCAATTCACTTGGGTCGGACAAACAATAAACCTCAGTTTCACTTTGGTCGGACAGAATGTCCGGTGGTTTCCTCTCTACGTCGGACAATTTCACGAATGGGTCGGACAATGTCCGTGACCGACCGATATTTTAAGGCCTGGGCTTTAACTGATGTCACATATACGAAAACGAGGCTCTATAACCAAAGTGACGTACTTTTCGTAAGGGTGTATTCTATTTGGAAGCAAGTAAAGAAAATTGAAAGACGTATATAATTTAATTTTCTTGCTGTCAATATTTCAGTGTTGTCACCTACCTATATTTCCGATGTTGCTATTTAAGATTCAAACCCGAAGCGGGATGGCAGACAAAGTTTGATTACTTCCATCTGTGTGATGTAAAATGTCGCTATATTCATCGATTATTTCTTTTAGCTTCTGCAAGTTGACAGTGTACAATCTTATGCCTGCGATATTGGCATCGTTAAGGTAATCTATGAATTCTGTTTTACTGCCATTCTGCTTTCTCTTCTTTCTGTGGGTCATGAAACATTACTGTTCCACATTCAATCCTTATATTCAAATCACACACTACACAATGACCCCCGCCTAGAGCCTCTGAATTCTTTATTCCCATTAAATATACACCTTTATCCATATTCATGAGTGCATTCCAAGCTTTCTCTATCATTTCCGACTTCTTACTCATTTCATCAGACCACAGATACTCGGCACTCACGGGTGCATCAATTACTTCACATTTCATGAATATTTCTATAATTTTTTCACACTTGAGATATTCCCTCCCAATTTTTTCGGCTTTATGAAGAAACATTATCAGGATTAATTGGGGGCCACAAAGGTAGAAACCCAGTTCCTGTTGACAACTCCAAAGAATGGTGCACAAGACGCAATTTTTTGCACAAACATGACCTTCACGTTGTAATTGTTGAAGATATTCATACTTCAACTTTTGAATCTGAAGTTGTCTATGCTCATCATTGGGCACTTGATTGTCAACCGTTGCATTCTGTTGATCAGTATTTAATTGTTCCTGTACTTTAATGAACTCTTGCTTCTCAACCGTTGCATCCTGTTCATCAATATTTAATTGTTCCTGGACATTAATGAACTCTTGTTTCTCAACCGTTGCATTTTGTTGATCAGTATTTAATTGTTCCTGAACATTAATGAACTCTTCCTTGTCAACCGTTGCATTCTGTTGATCAGTATTTAATTGTTCCTGGACATTAACGAACTCTTGATTAGCAAGCGTTGCATTATGTTGATCGTCAACAGTAAATTGTCTTTGCTCATTGTTGTGCAATTGTCCTTTCAATAGTTCCTGCAATTGATCTACTTTCAACAACTGTGGAACATACCTTTCTTTTTCCGACTTCTGTATTATATTTTTGTGATGCGGTAATATTTTCTTCAATATACTGATTAAGGCCTTTGAAGACGGTGGTAATACTTAATGGTTTAATGGCTGCGAACTCTATCTCAATCTGTCAAATACCTAGTCAGACAAAAACATCGTGATTATCTTGAAAAAGTTAAAGATTCCTTTGCTGAAAATCCAAAGCTGTTTTGGAGATACCACAAGTCAGTGCGCCGTCATCGGGTGAGCAATCGACCTGAAATAGTTTTTAACGGCGAAACGGCAAAGACCGCAGCCCATAAAGCAGAACTTTTCAATACGTACTTCTCCTCTGTGTTTACATCTCCTCGATCAAGTACCAACCTAGAGGCTGTCACCCGTTCACCTCCATTAAGAACTGAACTGCAACTTTCGGACATAGTAATCAGTGTAGACGAAGTTACCGATTGTTTGAAAAGTTTGGATACATCGAAGGCAAGCGGTCCCGATGGTATACCATCCCGGCTTCTAAAGGAATGCGCTGGACAAATAGCGCCAAGTCTATGCGATATCTTCAACCACTCACTGCAATCTGGTCGACTCCCTTCAGAGTGGAAATCAGCAAACGTTACTCCGATACACAAGAAACAACAAAAATAACTCGCAGAAAATTATCGTCCTATTTCCCTGCTCCCCATTGCGAGCAAAGTTTTAGAACGGTGCGTTTACACTAACTTTTATTATCATATTTTACATCTCATCACTCCATATCAACACGGATTTCTAAGAAATCGCTCCTGCGTAACACAACTTCTATCAGTATTCCACACCATTGGAAAAAATCTGGACAAGAATACACAGACTGATATTGTTTACCTTGACTTCGCGAAAGCGTTTGATTCTGTTGACCATTCTATTCTTCTTCAAAAACTCAAATGTTATGGAGTGACTGGAAACCTTCTAGGTTGGTTTGCTGATTACCTTAACAATCGTCGTCAGAGAGTCGTTGTGGACGGTGTCGCATCACGTTGGGCCCCCGTTACATCTGGAGTGCCGCAAGGGAGTATCCTGGGGCCTGTGCTCTTTGTAATCTTTATCAACGATATTCCTGAAGTGACTGATGGAACATCTCCAGCGCTGTTTGCAGACGACACGAAGGTTTACAAGGACGTAAGATCGGTAACGGACTGTGAAAAGCTTCAGCAGACCTTAGATAAGTTAGATATTTGGACTCAAGACAACAACATAACATTTAACGCTTCTAAATGTAAGGTACTGTCGGTGACACGTAAGAAAGATCCAATTACCTATCCCTACCACCTCGGTCGAAATTATTTGTCGAGAGTTGAAAACGAGAAAGATCTTGGAGTAACCCTCTCCTACAAACTTCACTGGGAGACTCACGTTAATGAGATCGTGTCGAAAGCTAATAAACAACTTGGTGTGCTAAAACGAACATGCTTATCATTAACAAACGTCAACATCAGACGTTCATTGTACCTGACACTAGTTAAATCACAACTCTCCTATGCAACACAAGTTTGGTCTTCAAACCATCACAGTCAACTCAACAGAAGAATTGAAAGAGTTCAAAGGAGAGCGACAAAATGGATATTAAGAATAAAGACTGGTGAAATACCTTACGAACAACGATTAATGACATTGAAACTATTGCCTCTCACATACGACAGAGAAATCAAAGATCTCGTGTTCTTCTACAAGATGCTGTATGGCCACATCGACCTTAAAATGGACAGTTATGTTTCATTCATTGAACATAGACGCACTAGACTCAGTCAAGCTGCTAGACGTGTTGTGCTTCAAACACCCTTGTGTAGAACAACGACCTTTCAATCGTCATACTTCAACCGGATAGTTAAACCATGGAACTGTATATGTAAAGACATTCATCCAGATACATTCTCCAATCCGATCTCCTTTAAAAACTATCTTAAACGTAAATATACCGAACTTGTTAAGTCAGTCTATGATGTTGAATTATCTTGTACGTGGTCACTGGTACGGGACTGTCCTTGCCACAGGAAATAGTTAAGTCAGTTTGTCGTGTTTGTATATTTGTCTGTCTCTGCCTGTAATATGTTTCTGTCTATCATGTAAAGGCTAGTCTCCATTCGGGAGGGTCTTTGGGAGGGTCTTCGGGATCGGGGTGGACGGGAAAGTTTTCAGTTTGTTTTGCGAGATTTCGTTTTGAACCTCTGGTTTCGAACTAAATGAATTTAATCTACACGAATGACGTGGACGTCGTGAATTTAACACAATGAAAGCTCTCCCGCCGTTTCTGTTCAGCGGAGGATCTTCCTGTGTGGAAGCTGGCCTTTACCTTTACATGCATGTTAATCTGTCTCTTAGTTTACTTGACACGCCCAGTTTCAGGAAATTGAGCCACGTTTACTCAAACTCTCTGAAGCGGTGACTATTTTGAATTTCGAGTTTAACTATTCCATTTAATCTTTTGCTTGCCTGAATCCTTTAGCGAGTTTGAGTTCGTGATGTTCTATTTGTTATCATGATTACTATTTTGGAGGTGGGTGCCCTGCATGGGACCTTTTATAAGAGTCCCGTTCGTACCTTACCTTTTTGGATCTACATTTGATATCTAGGTTATTTTAACTTAATGTAATATTTGTTCTGTTATTTTCTTTTGTTTGTTAAAAATTGTGAATATCGATCCAAATAAAATTTGTTATTATTATTATTAATAAAATAGTATCACTAAGAAAAATGTTGGTAACATATATTATAGCACACGAGAACACCAGTATCACCAAAGACTGTGAGAGTGGAATAATGGTACTAAAATTAATAGCAAACCTGAACACCACATTCACCAAAGACGTTAAGAATGAAAAAATACCAATAATAATAATAAAAAACGGGAACACCTTTTCCAGGCAGAGGGAGCGAAATGAAACAATAATATTAGTAATAATAATTGGAAAAGAGAACATCAATTTCACTGAAGACAGAAAGAGTGAAATAATACTATTGATAATAGTAGTAATAATAGCGTACGAAAACACCGATTTCGCTGGAGACAGTAAGAATGAAATAAATCTATTGATACTAAATAACATAGAAGAACACGAGTTTCAGTTCAGAAAGGAAGAATGAAATAGTACCATTAAAAATAATAAGATTAGCAAACGCGTGCAGCAGTTCACCTGAAGGTTGTAAGAATGAAATAATACTACCACTAATAATAATACCGTACAACAACACCATGGCCAGTTTACCTGAAGACAGTAAGACTGAAGTAATCCTATTAAGAATAATATGATACGAGAACGCCGTTTTCACTAAAGACAGTAAGAATGGAATAAATTTCATAATAATAATAACAAGCACTTGCGTCACGTGCACATAAGATCGCAAGGGTAAAATTTCACCTCCAATAATAATAGCATACGGAAACATATGCAGTTGCACTGAATTCATTACGATTGAAATAATACTGATAACAATGAAATTATGCTACTAATGACAGTATTATAGCTTTCTTCTTTCAACTTCAACTTCTTTACTTCATCTTTGTAATGCTGTTGTAACTTTTTCTTCAATTTTCCGATGTCTTTCTGTAACTCGATTAGGCACGGGAACACCAGTAGGATAGCAACAGTGTGAAAAATATATTGCCACTGGTTATCTAGTCGATCGAGGTCATGTACAATATTGTGGTTTTCATTTCGTGCCTTCAATTTTGTCAAAAATGGTGGCAAAAATGGTGGCAAAACCGGTGCATGGCCGTTATCATGTGGATAATTCATTCCTGAACAATATAGGTTTACTGTGATGGGTAGCTTTTAGGATGAACCCGTTACGATTTGGTAAATTTAACTAAAAAGAAACAAAAAATTAATATCTTTTAATACTCCATAAAAAAACTCTGCAAAATTGCTCTTGAACAAATGATTATTTAATAAATGAGTTCTATCACTGTATCAGTCACCCTAAGGCCCGTTTTATACGTCGAATTTCGGTCGCGTCGAATGCAATTCAAACAATAGATAATGAAGGTTAATGAAGTTTATCATCTCATTATCTTTTGTTTTAGTTGCATTCGACGCGACCGAAATTCGACGTATAAAACGGACCCCACGGGGCCTTTCATGGCCCCTCCAAATATCTTCCGCCCTCTCCCCTCCCCCTCCGCCATTAATAGTGAATGTTCCCCAAACGAACACTGCCAACGACAACGTACGTCATTTGTTAGTTTTTCAATTTTATTTTTCTTTATTTTTTTCCACTAATCAGGTTAGGGTTTGGTTTAGTGTTGGGATTGAATTTAGGGTTTGGGTCACATTCTTTCTTGAGTGGAAATTAGTTAATTCCAGAACAGTGAATGTATTATTTTTTCATTCAATCTCATATTTCAAAAAATCTTCTGGTGCACCCCTATTACAGTATTAGTTTGTTTAATATTAACGATAGTGTACACATATGCAGGCCTGTAACTAGGATTTTAGATTTACCGAGTCGAGTCGTCGGGGCATGCTCCCCCAGAAAATGATTGATTTTCTAAGGCTTAGAAACGCTATTTCCCGCAAAAATCCGTCTTTTCACATTTCACGGAAACAAATATTGCCGGCCATGAGTTCACGGCTGACGAAAATACCCTTTGCCACCCTATGTAATGTATGATGTCGAATTAATTGTATGTTTTTGCCACGTCATTCTTACCACAATCTCGTACCCAGAGCCACTCAACAATGGCTCTGGGTACGAGATTGTTCTTCCCACGTCTCGCTGTGCCGCGGCATTCAATTTGAATGCTAATGAGTAATGATTAGTAATTATGTAACATGTTAACACATATATTTTCAATAATATTAATATTTTATTAATTTTTGATACCAAACGCATCAAATTTGTGGTCAAAACACGCCAACCCGACTCTAGTTCGCAAACAGTTTGATGACTGTATCGTATTCGACCTGTGTTTCAAAGCGTTGAAATTCAGTGCCAAGTGCCCATGCATGGCCATGACCATGTTGATGTCATTCGCGGAGTTCCCAATTGCATAAGCCGCTTTAATGAGTCCCGTTCCGACAGCAAATTTAGCCTCACTTGACACGTTTTCCGTTTCCCAAGTGTGCTAATTGACAAGTTGATTTTCATGTGAGGCGTGTTATAAGCAACTTTTGTCGTTTTGATAAGTTCTGTTACACGAATCTTATATTTGCTTCTGTTGTATCACAGAAATTGTGATAGTGCAAACTAGCTTTAATATGTTTATCTTGGTCTTGTTCATAAATTGGCATGCCTAGCTTTTAGACAAGAAGATTTCTGATGAAAAATTCACGCCAATCATATTAAAACTGATTAACCGGTTAAACCAAGAAATGCTTACGCAACCATATTTAGACTTAACGTACGACTACGGTCGCTGTGATGATCCTTGACCTTCCCTTGACCTTTGGTTTTGGCTCTTGTTCTTCCCAGTTTCGAAATCTTGTACTTAAGACCAGATTTTTAACTCGAAATTTACAGTATATATTTTTTCGAAACTGCGTTTCAAAACAGCATGATTCAATGACTCTGATTCAATTGCCAGTCACATGCCAACTGAAATTCGTCATAGATCGGCGCCATACATTATTCATCATTAGTATAATTACATAGGTGATTATTGAAAATTCTCCACGCTGATTGGTTGCCGTTGAGGTGATTATTACGCGATAATCACCTAAGCGATTTTCAAAATGGCGGTCGAAGCCGTTTTGTCAATTAAGTGACGAAGAAATGTGCATTTTTAAATTTTTCCCCAAATAATCACCTATGAAATTATACTAAAACAATTATTCGCCTCAGGCTCGGTGATTATCGTGAATAAAAACCTCGACTTCGTCTCGGTTTTTATTCACCGATAATCACCTCGCCTTCGGCGAATAATTGTTAACTAGTGCAATTTTCGACTGGTAAAAAATTATCAAGCCTCTACTAGGCTTTATTAAAAACGTTGCTTATAATAAGCTGTTGAATTGTATTTGAAAAAGTCATGATATCAAGCTAGTTTAACCACATAGATTTGACCATAGAAAATCTTTTTACACTACACGTAAAAAGCACAAGTTTTAACAAACTGCAGCAGACTTGTAGCAATGCTGTTCCAACAACTTGTCAACAAGATATGTTCGCACTGCTTGTTCCCAGCTTGTTGACAATTTGTCAACGGCTTGTTGACAACTTGCTACAAGGTTGTTGAGTTTGTTGAGCTCAACAGACGTGTTACAAGTTGTTCCTATAATTTGTTATCGTCCTGGGATTCAATAGTTTGTCAAGAAGTTGTGACCTTGTAGCAACTTGATAAAATAACAGCATTGATACAACTTGTTGACAAGCTTGCTACAAGCCTGTTGCGAACACATCTTGTTGACAAGTTGTGTAGTACAGAAATTTAGTACATTGCTAAACTACTGAACAATGCTGTAACAACATTGTTGACTAACAACATTAGGGTGGTGCACAACCTTGTTCATGAAGCCTGCATTCAATACAGTATCAACCGGAAACAGGTTGTTCTTTTTACGTGTGTACGAAACTTACCGCGCCAGCGGCGTGGTGGCAAAAGTTTGGTTAGTTATATTCGTGTAATGTAAAATAGCCTCGTTAGCTGTGATTATTTGCTTTAGTTTCTCCAAATTGACCGTGTATAATATAACACCTTTATCTTCTCTTACATATCTTCTAAAATCTTGTTTATCCCCTCGTCCATACCTGTCTCTCTGTGGGTCAAAGATTGTTACTTTTCCATCAACTGTCCTTGTTTCCAAGTCACATACTTCAGTATGACCAATATCATTATTCATTATCCTTCCAAGTATCACTACCCGACGGCGATCCATTATCATGAGTTTATTCCATGCTTCATCTATTTCTTTACGTTTAGCACTCTTTTCAGGAGGATATTTACAGCCGTAAGCTACTTCGAATATTCCATGTTTCACAAGTATTTCCATGACCAATTTATGACATATGAGATGTTCTGTTTTAATGTTTCGACGTACTTCAGGAATAAACAGTAGGAGCAATAACTGGCAACCACACAGAAAGATACCCAGTTTCTTTTGGCAGACCCAAAGTAGTGTACACAAAACACAATTGTATGCACACAATATACCACCATGTTGCAATTGTTGGATATATTCATTTTTTAGCTGTGTTATTTGTTGTTCCAGCTGTGTTCTTTGTTGTTGCAATTGTTGGAGAAATTCATCTTTTAGCTGTGTTACTTGTTGTTCCAGCTGTGTTCTTTGTTGTTGCAATTTTTGGAGAAACTCATCTTTTAGCTGTGTTATCTGTTGTTGCTGCTGTGTTATTTGTTGTTGCTGCTGTGTTGTATGTTGTTGCAATTCGTTGATAATTCCCCGCATTTGACTGCATATACGTTTCGAATTTTGCAGTTGTTCTGTTAACCTTTTGTTCGACCATTCTAGAGTTTCCTGAGCATGTCTTTCCATGACTATAGCTTTGGGAGAGCACGTTATTTTTACTGTAAGTAAGGAATATTCAATTTAATCTCTCTAAATTATACTATTTTGTACAAGTGTCGATCAACAATATTTATCAGTGCCAGTATTTGATCAATTTATTACAAAACAATGTGGTAATATATTTAGGTAGCTGAACAGAGCAATAACCATTCAAATTGATATCAGCTACCATTATTTATATAGAAGGTACTGAAGGTGCCAGTAAAGAGGCCTGAATTGGCAATACTTGTTCTCGTGAAATGTGAAATGTGAAATGATGGATATTTTTGTGTCTTGAAACATGATTTCCAAAACGCATTAATAATTCACGGAAACACAAAGAAAAATCATAAGCGTGTCGTATCTTTATATGTGATAGAGATTTCCCTTGATTTACATTAACTTTGATTTTCTCGACTTACACAACGTATTTTTAGAAAATTACTTCGCCAATGAAGCAATGTAAAACATTCGCAGTGTGTGTTTTATCAGACCTAAAGATACTCGGCTTCGCCTCGTATCTTTATATCTGATAAAACACTGCTGCTCATGTTTAACTAGTACGTAAATGTCTAGCCGCCGTGATTGCCAGTTAGCCAGTAATTTTTGTTCGAGAAACGAGAATTTATTTGAGACCGGTAGAACAAAGGCTGGACGAGTATTGAGATGTGCGAACATGAAACAGCAATGCTTGATAATGCATGTACATTCTTGATTTTTATTTTTACTATAGTAGATATATCGTTTTGGTTTTAAAAACGTCTTTCGATGTTGATTTTTTAGTATATACATAATTATAATGGTAACCAAAGTTACCAAACAGTATTATAGATGACGTAATCACAAGCTTTTGGCTTTGCGTTGTTTTTGGATTCGAAAGAACTTCACACATTCTGATACAGTAGAACTGTATTTTGTTCAAACGGAAACTTATATATAGTCGAAGCAAACTCTGTTAATTCAAAATTTCAACAAGTCCCTGACTAAGGCATTGTTTCAATTTAAATATTATTGACATTGTCATTGACATTATGATGTTGTTTAACCTTGTAATTTGTAACACAATTGTCGCCAAATGCATCAAATTTGAGAGCAAAACGACAAAACGTATACAGAACAACGAAACTCAAAAATGTACTTCAGTGAACATTTTGTAGACTTTATCGTATTTTGTTCCTTTAAAAGTCTTCAAATTTGCGAAGTTGCTTTGATATGCTTCATTGAGATGTCGCTATCAATTTTGTTTAAGTCTTAATACATTTGAAACAGCTTGAAACGATTCACTTGGGTAAGCTCCCGTACAGACAGGAAATTTTCCTTGGCAGTTAGTTTCTTGCTGCTCGTATTTCCGAAATCCTTGACAAGTTGATTTGTGAGTTGTATTATAAGCAACATTTCTCGCTTTGACGAGTTTTATTTCGAGTATATACTTTGTCTTTGACTTTGCCAGTTTGCTGCCTGTAGTTTCACATATATAAACACAAAATTTACACGTTTTCCTTAGTCAACCATATACAAGAAATTCGAATAAGTTTATTGTTGACTCTTGTCCAAACGTTAGCATGACTAGCTGTCACACAAGGAGAATTGCCAGGGATATTTAAGTCAAAACATTATAAAATATCAAAATAAAACCGGATATAAAACTGGTGAAGAAATACAGCGCCATGTTTGTAGACACTAGTCACTACGGATGGTATTGAAAAGATAGATTAAAAGATTTACCTCTCTTTTGCCCTTCCGTTTTTGGTCCTATACTACTTTTGTCTTCTGCAGTCTGCACTTTGCACTACGGACGAAATTCAAGTCAGAATTCACCTTTAAAAACATCAAAATAAAGAAATAAATACGTAGCTACGACCTGTATACGGTCGACGTACATTGAAACTACAACTGCTAGCAGATTAAAACCTGGGCTTACCTTCCCCTTGCTTTTCTTTCTTTGGATCTTGTAATACTTCTCACATAAGACGGCTGGCAGGTTCAGGCAATGTCTGGAAATTAGCAAAGTTCAAATCACATACCAACAATATAATCAAACACAAGCCACTAGTAATTTGATATGCAGTGTTGTTCACGCTGTGATAACTTTTTAGTCATACATATTCATGCGTCTAATCATAGCAATCCTAAAATTTTTGACAGGTAGAAAACGACCAAGGCTTTACAAAATTTTATGCATTAACTTTATCAAGTTTAACAAATATTTTTGACTCCGTGGAAAATTATCGGTACAGTATAGATATAGAAATCATATAAGACAGCGCAAAATTATTCCACAAGTTCAGAAACTACTGCATCGGATTGTGGGGATGTTTTATTTTCTCAGTGCTTTAAAAACAATGTGAAGGAAATATTTCTTGTCAGATATTCCCCTGCAGCAACCAAGAATGAAGAAATTGCCCTCCAGTGTTCAGAATGTGCTCAGAGTGGTCATCCAGTCATGATCCAGTGATCAGAATGTTTCATTGTCTTTTCATTGTTTTGAAAATACCACTGTTCTCCATGCCATCCAGTCATGATCCAGTGATCAGAATGTTCCATTGTCTTCATTGTTTTGAAAATCTCACTGTTCTCCATGTCATCCAGCCATGATCCAGTGATCAGAATGTTCCATTGTCTTTTCATTGTTTTGAAAATCCCACTGTTCTCCACGCCATCCAGATACGATCCAGTGATCAGAATGTTCCATTGTCTTTTCATTGTTTTGAAAATCTCACTGTTCTCCATGTCATTCAGTCATGATCCAGTGATCAGAATGTTCCATTGTCTTTCCATTGTTTTGAAAATCTCACTGTTCTCCATGTCATCCAGTCATGATCCAGTGATCGGAATGTTCCATTGTCTTTTCATTGTTTTGAAAATCTCACTGTTCTCCATGTCATCCAGTCATGATCCAGTGATCAGAATGTTTCATTGTTTTTTCATTGTTTTGAAAATACCACTGTTCTCCATGCCATCCAGTCATGATTCAGTGATCAGAATGTTCCATTGTCTTTTCATTGTTTTGAAAATCTCACTGTTCTCCATGTCATCCAGTCATGATCCAGTGATCAGAATGTTTCATTGTTTTTTCATTGTTTTGAAAATACCACTGTTCTCCATGTCATCCAGTCATGATCCAGTGATCAGAATGTTCCATTGTCTTTTCATTGTTTTGAAAATCTCACTGTTCTCCATGTCATCCAGTCATGATCCAGTGATCAGAATGTTCCATTGTCTTTTCATTGTTTTGAAAATCTCACTGTTCTCCATGCTATCCAGTTATGATCTAGATACCTTTGATGAAAATATATACAATGGTTTTCAAACTGTTCTTTCAACCACAAGTATCCTTAGCTCGTAGAATATATAACATCAGAAACAGTAGATGACCCCAAAATAATTTATTCAATACAAAATAATGATATAATAAATGATTAATTTCGTGTATTTACACGATCGTATACGCTGTGGGGCGGCCGCACCCCAATAGTTTTGAAAGACCTATGAAAGTCTGGTACCAAATATCACAATTCACAAGCATTGTTTAGGAGCTAGCAAGTGGCATGCAAGCATGCAATCACACCTATACAGGGTGTATAAAAAAAACGCAACCTCGGAATTTCCCAAGAAATCGACATTGTTTTAAAGACAAAAGATTTTAGGCGCCTGGGAATTTAAAATAGCACAACTGTCAAAATTACTGCACACGCGAGTGCATAAAGCAAAATTTATGCATTTATTTAATGCACAACAACAGTAATATGATCTATTAGCAATACGATTTCAATTCCCAGCGGCCCTAAAATCGTTTATGCTTAAGAATTGCACAGTGATTTCTAAGGAAATTCCGAGGTTGCGTTTTTTTTGATACACCCTGTATAACGTAATTGTCATATTAAATTAAATAATGACTATTAGATAGAACCTAAGCTACAGTTAGCAATATAGCAAGGGAAATGATTCCGTACAATGCATGCCAATGATACCACAACATAGAATTTTATACAATCTGTTTTGTTCTGTGTAGGATTCCTTACAGCTCTACTAATAAGACATTTTAAACCATTAGAATTGATAGTTTCAACTGCTGAACTGCAGTGTACATTAAACAACAACGCTAATCGACATGCTTAATTGATTAATCATCTTAATTGAATATCTAATGTTATAATTAAATGGCACTACTCTGGACTCTTTATTCATTTCATCAAGTGACCCATGTTCTGAAACATTCGCATAACTTAGGCCCCTTTGGCATATATTTTGAAATCCCCCCCAATATTTCGTGAAGTGTCCGCCACTGGTTAGTGTACTACTTCCTGTGCCTAAACAAGCACAAGCATATACATTAGCCGGTTAGATCGATTTCGTTACATTTTTAAACGATTAGTCTCACAATCCCATTGGCTTCATCAACCTGTGGGGATGGTCAATTGGTGATCCCTTTGGAAAGCTACCATCAACGGCACTACCATTTCATTACAATGCCATCTGTTTTGTTGTGCTTGGTAAATGTAAAACTTCATGATGTTCTTTGATTATTTCTTCTAGTTTCTGCAGGTTTACAATGTGCAAATTTAGACCTACAACATTTGGATCATTTAGATAATCTGTGAATTCTTTTTTGTTCATTTGTGCATTCTCGTCTCCTTGTGGATCATGAAACATTCGTCCATCCGTAATCTTTGCATCCAGGTCACAAATTATACAATGACCCCCACCTGTAGCCTTTGGACTCTTTATTCCCAATAAACATAATCCTTCATTCATACTCATTAATTTTTTCCACACCTCGTCTATAATTTTAAGCTTGTCACTCTTGTCATCCTCGAAGACTACATGAACTATTTCACATTTTATTAATATCTCCATGAATTTTTCGCATTTGAGATCTTCTTTTTCAACTTTTATGCCTTTATTATCTGCAAAGTGAGTTAGTATTTTGTCCAATTGGCGTTCACAACCAGTGACCTTTACTGATGGTAGTTTCTCTTCGCAAATCCAATGTACTATACCTAACACACAATTTCTGTCACAATTTTTACCTTTCTGCCGTAGTTTTTGGAGCTGATAATTTAACTCGTCGTGAGCTGCGTCTAACTTCTCTTTTAACTCTTTGATTTTTTTACACAACGCTTTTTTCTCATTTTGCAGTTTTTTTATTGTCTGTGTCTGTTCATCACTTATTTCTTCCAATTTTTTCATGTCTCCGAGTAAGTTTCCGTTTTCAATGCATTTATTAGAATATTTCCTCGACAAAACATCATGTGAGCTTTGTAAACGAGTAATTTCGTTTTCCAATTCCTGAATGCGTTCTTTATCTTCTGCGTGTGTTTCCTGCATGTGAATATGTTTACTGTTGTTCGTTCCCATAGCTTTTCTGATGAACACTAAACGTGAAGGAAAAAAAAGGGAAGGTCAAGGGAAAAAATTCAATTTAATAATATGTTGTAAATAATAACCTGTACGAATCTGTATACTTGTCTTAACCAAATGATTGTTTAATAAACTAGTTTTATATGATTATATGTGATGCCAATTAAAAGGACGTTAATTTATATACTACCATATAAAATCAATTGTTAATACATTTTTTTTCTATACCTAATGCAGACACGCAGTCCTTCAGTCTTATAGTCTTAAGTCTTAGACTTGGACTTAGACTTATAGAGAAGACATATATAAGACAAGTTGTCCTTAGATCTTAATACCTGATAATTTGGTTACATGCAGTTAGGTTTCCCATGCAAGGCAGATTAAATTATAGATCTGATGATATAGATAACTCAATCAGTAACTTAGATACAGTATATGCATGCATGCATGACGATGACTTGAATTTTTTTTGTCGAGCGATAGGTTTTATATATACGTCGTGCTGAGACATTATTATGGGACTTGAATATCATTTAAACCGCGCTTGTGCACATTAATATTATATTTAGCCATATAGAATTATTTATGACAGCTTTCTTTTCCAGCTTAACAATAGTCAAAACCATTGGTCCAAACAAAACACACGTATATAAAGCGACGAGGTTCATAATACAATGTCAATAATCATCAGTCATACAATCGTTGTGGCGTATTATAGAATATACTACAGGAGTATACTATAGTATAGAGCAAAATGTGTGAAAATCTCTTTTGAAATTGGACTTTGTCTTTGATTTGCTTTTTGAAGCTACTATAAGCCTATAAATCTTCTGACAAAGCCTATACATAGGGCGCTCGCTGGCAGTCGGTGTCAAGTGGTTTTAACAATTTTTTCAGGTAATTCACTATAACAAAACACGGCAGCCGGTTTAGTGTGGAATACTGACGTTGACTGCATGACTGTACTGACTACCGGTATGTGCGTGAATAGACCAGACATTATATGTCGGTCGAAATAAATTGATAATCAAACGATTAAATCAGTAATCAATATAAACTTTTTAAAATTTGTTGTCTTTGTTGCTTTCAGTATATAGATGCTACGTTGCCTGCTACTTCCCAGTTCCCATGCAGTGTCGGTGAGACATATGCATTGTATGCATGTGAGACTGTTGATTAAAAACAATTTTAGGCTATTAACATTTAACACGACGTATGCTTAACCGCATATGATATGGCCAAAGCTATCGCATTTGCAAGTAAACCGTCAGAAACAAACTCGGAACTTTAATTCTAACATTTGTGGCAATTACTATAAATAAATTCGTTCCTACTTATTACACAATATCGATCAAATCAAGATGTCATGATGAAACGATTCAAATAATAGTTAGTTTCGTTCCCGCTTGCTATAATAGCCAGAGAAATAGCCAGGTTTTATAAGATCATTTCTAAGCCCATTAGGGCGTGCAACAATCATAGGAAAAGAAGGAAAATTCAAAACGAAACCTAAAAGTTTACGTTGAGCGAAGCTATCTCAACGCAACCGTGTATGTATTAGAAAAGTCAAAAAGTTGATTTAACACTTGTAACTTTACTAACAAGCTTACCTTTGTTCGGGTTCGTATTACTTGCAATAAACCAACTTCGCAGTTACGACCAAATGTCACCGGCAAAATATAATATTCTTTCCAAACACCGCTTCGGAATTCGGAGACGGACTTGACGGAATGTGTTTGGTGTGATAAAGCCGTGACTTAATAAATTATTCAACATATATTATCATTAGAAGACTTCCTCTAATTGGACGAGAAGGAAGAACGGAGCGATTTCTTTGTTTTCAACGTCAACGTGTATAGCCAATGAAAAACGCTTAAGAAACTGTGTTACTGTGTATATTATCTGTGCCACGTTGGCAGTAAAAACGTTTCAACAAGCGTTACGAACACTGATCTCGTCATTAAGTCGATGGTAATCCGCGTACCGCTTGCGCTAGTACAAACTCAATACTCAATGTGTACCTATAGTATACAAAAAGCACAGTAATTAATACTGTAGTTACAAGTTGCAGCAAGAAGCACACACAATTGCAATATACAAACAATCGACCTAAACATGCCTTAGCAGTCCAATACTCCAATCATGTTTCATGCCAAGACATGTCAGACTTACACATATACCGACTAAATTTCGGTATTGCATGAATACCTTGAGCTTGGAGTGGTCATGTGGTAGCCTACAGCAAAAAGTTAATTACGCGAACAGCAACACTTCCATGTACCTACGTGGTTGAAAACAAAGAAGTACCGGACCGTAATATTGGCGTACCTCCGGTACGTAAGTACGCGAATTACCGCAACCTTGATACCGATCATTTACATATATGCAATATCTGTCTAGAAACTTCTTGCCAAGTCGAACCCAGGAAACCGCGCGATATATTCTTCATAAACTTTCTTGTTTATGGAGAATATATTTTCTATATATATTCTTCATCACTAAAGTTGGAACCCGTGACTATGTTAGTTATAACTGCTCACGTAAAAATCTCACAATTTGTCAACAAGGTGTGTTCGGAACAGGCTTGTAGCAAGCTTGTCAACAAGTTGTAACAATGTTGTTATTTTATCAAGTTGCTACAAGGTTGTCACTCATAACTTGTCAACAAATTGTTGAATTACAGGACGATAACAAGTTGTTGGAACAACTTGTAACAAGTCTGTTGAATCAACAACCTTGTAGCAAGCTTGTCAACAAGTTGTATTAAAAATGCTGTCATTCCATCAAGTTGCTACAAGCTTGTCACCCACAACTTGTCAACAAGTTGTTGAATTACAGGACGATAACAAGTTGTTGGAACATCTTGTGACAAGTCTGTTGAGCTCAACAACCTTGTAGCAACTTGTCAACAAGCTGGGAACAAGCAGTGCGAACACATCCTGTTGACAAGTTGTTGGAACAGTATTGCTACAAGTCTGCTGCGGGTTTGTTACAACTTGTGCGTTTTTACGTGTGTAAGCCAAGACCTGTCTAACATACGTAAAGACGCACAGGTTGTTACAGGTCTGCAAACAAATTGTTACAAATCTGTTCACAAGCTGTCGACAACTGAGTTGTGTTCGCACTGCCTGTTCCCAGTTGTTGTAACAAGTTTGGAACAAGCTGTTAACAACTAGCTTGTAACAAGCTTGATGGCATTATCAGACTTGTCACAAGGTTGTTCTAACAAGTCTGATACAGTCATGATATAACAAGAATGTTACAAGGTTGACGACACAAGGTTGTAACAATATTGTTACATCATGACTGTATAGGACGTGTTGGAACAACCTTGCAACAAGTCTGATAATATCAACAAGGTTGTTACAAATTGTTAACAGCTTGTTCCAAACTTGTTGACAACTTGGGACAAGCAGTGCAAACACAACTTGTTGACGGCTTGTTGGTGGACTTGCTACAAGATGTGAGATTTTGATTGTGAGAGTGTACCAGATAAACGCTTATTAGGTAATTAGTGTCGTTCAACAGTTATACGAAGCTTTTTAATATTTAAATGAGCACACAGATCTTGTCATTTAAACTTTTATTTACGCGAGAAACAGAATCGTTTACAAAGTGATTGCATGCTTACTGAACCCCATCTATTGCGCCTGAGGCGATGGCCAATGTTTGATCAGATCGATTGGTCCGATGTAAAATATCCTCATGTTCTTTGATTATTAGTTTTAATTTCTCTAGGTTGACAGTATATAATATAAGACCTTCGTCTTTGATAACATAATCTCTAAAATTTTGTTGATTCCCATGTCCCCACTCCTCTTTCTGTGGGTTATGGATTGTTACTCTCCCATCACCCCTCGTGTCCAAATCACACACTTCCGCATGACCCTCATCATTGGCCACCGAGATCACCCTTCCAAGTATCATTACACGCGCACTACCATCCGTTGTCATGAGTCTGTCCCATGCTTCATCTATTACTCGAAGCTTGGCATTCATTTCAGGAGGATACTTGTACTCTACAGCGATTGCAACTATTTCGCATTTTCTTAAGATTTCCATCAATTGTTCACATTTTAAATCATCTTTTTCAATTTTGGCGCCCGCATGCGCAATTATTATTTTTTCTAACTGGCGTATACAAAGGTCCACACCCAGACCCAGCTTCTCAGTTTGGCAAATCCAAAGCATCGTACGAAGTACACAATTCTTATTGCATTCCTTACACTTTAACTGTTCGATTCTGCTGAACAACCATTTTTTCTCCAGTACCAACTCGGCATTTTTTAGCTCCAAATTGTGGATAATTTCCACCAATTGACTGATTATACCATTTGACGTCTGTAAATCGTTTTTTAGCTGCGCATTTTCGTTTTCCTTTTGTTGAATGTTTTCTTTTAGTTGAGAATTTTTATCTCGTAGCAGCTCTACCACATCTGACGTAGATCTACCGTTACTTCTTTCCATGGTTAAGCTTTGGGAGAAGATTAAATTTTACTAAAAGAAAGAAATATTCAATTTAAAAATCTTTCCAAGTTATACTTTTTTGTCAGAGTGTTTATATCACCAATATTACCAATGCTATATAGTATTTGATCACTCTATTATCAAAGTGGAATAATGCATGCCTTCGTCATACATCTAATTCAAAAAAAGTTTGTCCTTTGAAAAACCTTAAATTCTAAGCGTGCAAAGCTTAATGGGAGCATCGTTTAATCAGTTTAGAAATCATATATGGCGCCTATTTCTTAGGCTATAAACCTATATATACAAACCCTATTGGTATATATTGTCATTAAACAGTAAAAGTGTTTGAGGTTCCTTGACATGCTAATTGACATGCATGCTTGAGTTCTCAATTGTAAAAGCCGCTTTTGTGTTGGAATGAATCGATTCACTTGAAAATGAGCCTGTTCAAGACAGGAAGTTTTGTTTAATTGCCCGTATATTAAATTTCACTCTTAGTTAGTTTGTCATTGACCTTGTTAAAAAATTGCCAATGCCTAGCTTTCAGACAAGAGGATCTGGGGGAAATTTACTTAACTTAAACACTATAAAATACAAAAACTGGATACAACGAGTTAAGAAATGTCGGCGCCAGCTTTAGGCACTCGGTATACGCGTGTACGACTATACCGTCGCGGTACAGTATTGAATCAAATCAAATCATATTTATTTCCGTAGGGTAACCTCTTCAGTAATGTATCACTGGTATCAATGTGGGCCCTTGAAAGGTATAGCTATACATTAAAACTGAGTAGACTTGCCTTCCTTTTGTCTTGTGGGATCTCGTACTACTTCTTACTTCTCAATCTCACACCTAGGACAAAATTCAAGTCAGAACATCGTGAAATATTAAAACTAAAACCAGGGGCGCCGGAACTTGGGGGCAGCCGCCCCCGTTGCCCTTTACCAGGAGAGGCAAGGGGGGCAAAGCTGCCCTTTCAATTTAAAGGATTGCCTTGGCAAAATAGCGAATTGTCAGAAATGTTAGTGCAATTCGTTTACGAATTTGCTTCAGAAAACGCAAGAAATGCAGTCATCGAGCTTCAAGAATAGCACAATCGCCTGGCAGAGAACCCTTTCACACCCCTCTCATCCAATAAATAGAAAACATGATTAGGCGAAATTCAACTCCCGATGTTTTGCAAACATCTCTTGTATATATCAATTCAAAAGTGCCCTTTCACGAAAATCTGCCCCCCTTGCCTTCACATCGTTCCGGCGTCCCTCACTAAAACCGATAATATCCCAGTGAAGAATGCCGCCATCTTAATTAGTAGACACTACACAGTCGTTAGTTAAAAAGTACATTAAAACCTTTCCTTTGGCTTTTTTTGCCTTGGACAGTTTGGATCTTGTACTATTTGTTAATATCTCGCACCATGGATTGTAAAATAACTTGTACTATTTGTTACTATCTCGCACAATGGATTGTATTTTATTATCCATGCTCGCACCTAGGATAAAGTTCAAGTCAGAACATTGTAAAATATCAAAATAAAACCGCATAGAACTGATGAAAAAATGTTGCCATCTTAATCAGACACTTCGTTGTACATTAGTCGTTAAGTACATTAAAACATTTCCTTTGGCTTTTTTCCTTTGGTTTTGGGTCTCGTACTACTTCTTACTTCTCAATCTTACACGTAGGACAAAATTCAAGTCAGAATATTGTAAAATATCAAAATAAAAACGGATAAAACTGATGAAGAAATGTCGCCATCTTTACATATTAATCCCTGTATATAGGCTACATAAGTTTATGTACACGGTGGTGTATTGAAAAGTAGATTAAATGTTTACTTACCTTCGACTTGCTTTTTGTTTTCAGACGGTTGTAATTCTACTTCTTCCCTTGCTTCGATGAAACTTGTTGTGTTGACGTCGGCATGTGATTTGAATTTTGCTACTGCATCGCATGACAACTGGCTTATACATATTCATAATGCAAAACTGATATAAACAATCTAGGATTTTCGACAGGTAGAAAGCGATCAAACCTTCGACTATATACAATTTAAAATTGCATGGTAGAAGTGGTATTTACTACTATATTAAGTTTAACAACATATTTTTGGTCATGGAAAATTATCTATCATGTATACGGCAGATACAATCATGCAATTTCTGCATCATTTAGGATGCTTTAAATTTTATTTTCTCACGACAATGCTTTCATTATCGTGCTTTCATTAGAGCACGGACTCATGTATTTTAAGTGGCCTAAAAAACGACCCATCTTATGAGTTCATTGGCCAAGTAATTTTAAAAATAAATGTTCTCTAACTACCTATTTAGATAGTCCAAGAACAAAAAAAGTGGTACGGCACCAAAAATCGAACGTAGTGTAAACGGGGCTTAAGAGTTAAGGCGAGAAAACCAAAGCTAAAGTAAATGAACATGATTTTTTATCACATATAAAACCACCAACACGGCAGTGATTTCCTTTGTCCCTTCCTCATGAATTTCTATATTCTTTTAAGTACTATATTTGATTGATTTTCACCACTTTGTAATGACAATTTTAAGATTTTATTTTCAGTAATAATTTTTTTATTTTGCCAGATGTTCATTTAGAGAAAATTTCTCAATGAAATTTTGTAATTTTCTAAATCAAAAAACTTCATACTCCTGAAGTCTATTATACAGGTCGGTGATTTTATCGTTCAATGGCACAATCTTCCGAGTTCTGATCTAGTTTTTCATCCAATATCGATCTTAATTCATCAATAGACAATAGTTATTTAATTCATTTAATAATTTAATTTAATACGTTTGTCACAATATTACAAATATTACAAATACATATATATAACATGTTATATTATACAAATAATGAATGTATTTATTCGTGCAATGGTAAGAATATTTTCATGAGGTGAAAGATGGAATGTTCCATTCAACGAACCGAGTTGATTGGAATATCACATCTTTCACCGAATGAAAATACTCTTACCATTGCACTCATAAACATTCATTATATGACGTATCCGTAACAGGATAAATTCCAATTAGCCTTTCCCACGCCGCCATTTTTGGTGTACTGTAATTTTTCGTAAACGATTATAACAATGTGAAAAGCAATATTTCAGAACAAACTATTTACGGAGTAAATTTACCATCGTACACCCACAAAATTATAAAATGTCGCCGTTACGTGGTGCTACGCTCGCAGGATTGGCAAAAAAGTACCCCAAAAATGGCGGCGTGAGAAAAGCTAATTGTATTCATTTATATTTATATTTGTATAGCCATGATGAAAACATATAACTACACAAAAATTTTACATAAAATATAGATAACTAGCAAAATATTGATAAATTTTCAGGAAGTTGAAAAAATGACCGCCCACTCACTTGTGATAAAAATCAGTTGTGTACTGTGTGTATAATTGTTTAGATATTTTTAGGTGTAAAATATGTGAACAATGATTGATTATTTGTTTTAGTTTATCGACGTTCACCGTATAGAATATAACACCTTCGTCATTGTGTACGTGGTTTATAAAGTCTTGTTGACCCATTCTTCTCCACGTTTCGTCCTGTGCGTCATGAATCGTTACCATCCCATCTGCCGTCTTAGTGGTCCTTGTGTCCAAGTCACACAATTCAGCATGACCGAGACAATTAGCCCCCGAAATCACTCTTCCAATGATAACTACATGTACGCTATCGTCCGCTGTCATTAGTTTGTTCCATGCTTTAAACATCTCATCATATATATACTTACCAATCATTTTAGGAGAATAATTGTATTCGCCATATTTTGTGACTATTTCACATTTTTCTAAGACATCCATAAATTGGGCGCACTTTAAATCTTCTAGTTTAATTTGAGGGCTTGCATAGCAAATTATTATTTTCTCTAACTGGCGACAGCAAAGGTTCACACTCAGACCTAGCTTTGTTTGGCAAATCCTAAGAATTACACACAGTACACAGTAGCGTAGCCAGCCTGAAAATTTACTCCTGCTATGTAAATTTCAAAGCATTATCATTATTCATTTCTTTAGAAATTCATTGTTTTTACAGTCTATGAACACAGAAATATTTGCATAGCAGGAGCAAATAGTCAGGCTGGCTACGCCACTGACAGTACACAATCTTCATCACAAACCCTATGCTTTAATTTTTGGATTATATTAAACAAATATTTTTTCTCTTCTACATGTTCATCATTTTTTTGCTTCCAATCCTTGTTAGCATTCAACAGATTTTCTGTTATGTGATGTGACATCAGTAACTCTGCCTTTAACCTCTTATTTTCTTCCATTAACCTTCTTGCCTCATCTAGTAGATGTAGAGTAGTATTTCTTTCCATATTCATTTAGTTTTAGCGGAACGTGTAGACTTGATAAAAGAAGAAATAGAAATTTAGTAATATCTCTGAACTACACAAGTCTTGACCATGCAGCAGTATTTATTGAATATTAGCGCTTGTATATAGTATTTGATCATTTTAGTGGTGAAATGTGGTAATACATAGCTAAATAAATATATATAGCAATAACCAAATTGATATCAACGTGCAGTATTTACAGCTAGCTAGTTATATATATCGCGTGATATTGATGGAGCATTTATTTCTATAATATACGTAATAAAATTTCAAAAATTAAGACTAAGGACTATAAATCCGTTTCTACCAGGCGGAATTTTCCGCACGGAGCGGAAGTTTTCTTTGTCTTGCATGGGCGTATCGGGCGGGGGGGCGGAGGAGGCGGCAGCCCCCCCCAGTTTGTTGGGCAAACAAACTCAGTCGGGCAATATTCGCTTCACAGTCGGGCAATATGCCTTACTTATAATAATAAATGGGACAAACTCTGTCAATTTTGAGGGAAATTTAGTCAATTTTGTGGGAAATATGCTACCTAATAGGAATTTTTCGTAATCACTCCTCCCCGCCCC